GATGGTTATCTTGCAAAAGATTTGTAAAATCTTTCAATTAAACCAAATTTGTACAATTTCCGATTTTTTTAGAAAAAACAAAAATTATTCTCAAAAAACTTGAGCAGCGGTAGAACATTTCTCTTATGAAGATTGGGTCAAACGCCAACCCTAAAAACTGGCCAGCTCAAAAGAGAGAGATAAGTCTATTGAGATGGACCCCACTTTTGGGACTTGTTTATTATGTAGGGTTTGATAATACCATAGAAAAATATAATTTACATGACAGGCGGCAAAGCCGATCTTGGCCGTCCATGTAGACGGTTTGGACGGCGGCGATGAACGTAACTGGTGAGGTGGCCGGTAGACGGCTGACATCAAGAGGTGTCAGATGTTTATGCAAGTGTTTCCGCGTGTGGATCGACTGTGTTGTCACTGACAAGACTAAGGAGCCATTAAAAATGACTTGATCGAAGTCCCTACAACATTAATTGATTAATTTAAATTTTAAATCCACAAGCATAGAGAGAGAGAGAGAGAGAGAGAGTTGGCATTATATGAAACCAATGACTCATATGATTAATTGAAATATAATATATAGTCAAATAATTAATTAAACTATGGTTTGTGGATCACATGGAAGGATGCTTCTGATTCTTGTTTGGCACAGCCTCTTTTAAATTTAAAGTATTACACAGAGAATCTCAGTGTTAATTTTGTTTCCTTGCGGAGAGTGAGATTGGCCTTGTCATGCAGGAACGTGGGGTATGCGTTGTCTCATGCCCAATCAAAGGATTCAAATGATCAAAAACTAGCTAGCTAAGGTTTTATTTTTTTATTTTTATGTAATGGACCACCAAGACCAAGTTGGTAAAAATTGTATAAGGTCCTTACCTACTAAATTACCTTAGCATATGAATGGGGCCTTTGGCACAATTCATCAACTCCCATCGGAAATATTTGACTGACAGGAATAATTATAGGATAAATTACACTGACATTTCATGAAGTTTGAGTAAATTATACATGTGTAGATCATTTCGTATTTATTTTTTTGACTACTCTTGATATTTAACATGTGTGCTCAATGACACTGGCCTCTAGCGCTGTCTTTTGTGTAAATCTATTGACCAAATTTTATAAAATTATAATTTTGTCATTGCCTTGTATAAAAATATAATATAATATGTTATTAAAATGTAAGGGTATTATCTTTTTTTAAAAGCTTACCCTTTTAACCCAAAAAATAAAATAAAATATGTAAGGGTATTACTAACTTTTCACACTCAAAGTCAAATTTCGGTCGTCACGATATGGGTTTGGGGAAGCAAAGTAATAAATGTTAAAATTGTTTATTTATGTGTAATTTATCCAAACCTCAGGAAAGAACAATGTAATTTATCCTTAATTAGATAGATATTACTCCCTCTATCCCAAAATAAATATTTCAATTGAAAAATTATAATACTATTTTTTTAATTATTTATTATTTGGTTCTTATAGTCCAGTGGGGTAGTGTCTCAAGTGGACTTTAGAGTGACAAGTTTCAATTCTCTATATCTACTAATTTAACTCCTAACACTTTTTACCTTGAAAAAAAAATAAATACTATAATTTTTTTTTATAACTTGTGTGAGACTCATTATAGATATATTTGATAATTCAATCACTACCGTTACAATAAAAAAATATATTAAAAGTCATTCTCTTACAAAGTTACATTCCCAAATAAATAACTTTTATTTTGGATTTGGGGGAGTAAATTATATATATATATATATATATATATATATATATATATATATATAGTAAGACCGTAAGAAGTGTACATAATTAATCGCGTGCCTCTGCTCTCACACACAGAGAGAAAATGAATCAATATTAAGGCTCTGATTGTTTGGATGTAAAATATTTGTTATTTTATTTTTTAGTGTTGAGATGTCGTAAAATATTTAACGAAAATAACTTATTTGTCAATTTTTGACAAGTTATTTTACACACCTAATCTGATTGACTCAATCTCAACATTGACGTAAACCTTTGCCAAATAAAAAATAAAAATAAAAAAATATTTTACTTAAAATATATATTTTAAAAAAAAAAAATATTTTAAAACAATCAGCAAGAAAGAAATTGGCCTGAGCGGATATACTATTGGCAGCAATAATGGTCTTTTGATGAACTCTAAGGCCAAAAGTAAATGTTGAAGTGTTAATTGTGTGCGTGTGTGAGAGAGAGAAAGAGAGAGAGAGAGTGATTTTGGTTGTTAACATAGTAGATTCTCTAAATGTCCTATCAAACAAAGAGGTCGGTGATTCTCTGTATGATCATTGGCCCATCGAAAACTTCAATCCTTCCAATACCAAACAAAAGTCATCTCTCCCTTCTCAAGGATAACATCCCCACATACATTATTACAATTATAATAATACATGTTTATACATAACTATATATATATATATATATTGTGTGTGTAGACTAGAGAGAGAGAGACGTTTCAAAGTTTCTAATACAAATTATTACTGATTACTTTATTTTTCCGGAGGGTTAAGCATCATAGAAATTAATGTTACCCTTCAAATAGCCCCAAAGCAAAAAATATATGTATATAAAGGTTGCCAATTTGAGCACTATCTTTGAACAGGTAAGATCAAAATCAATAAAAGAAACCCAACTTTTAGACCAAGACAAAAAAACATGTTTTTGTAACCTTTCAACTTTACAAAATGGAAATAAAAAAACACTTGGTTTTGACTTCCAAAAACTAATGTTTGTCCTTCTTCATCCCAACATAATATATAATGTAACCCTAGATTATGCGCCTAAGTTTCACCATAATCACCTTTTTAAGGATTTAATCATCCTACCAAATCCTTGACATGTTGAAACAAATTTTTTTTAATGCATTATTAATTTGCTTTCATATATTTTCTATAATCATCATTACATCCATGCTTTTATGTTCAAAGTCTTGATTGAAAGCTCCACTCTACATATCATGAAAAGTGGCAGCGATTGTTAAAAGATTATTAAGTGGTAGCTAAAGTGGATTGTCAAAAATGGATGAGAGGCAAGAGGCAGTAGCAACCACAAGTGCAAAACCAACACTTTCCAGTAAGTGCCAACTCATTATGACTGATTGAATTTAGTACAAAAGAGAGAAATTATAATATCTTTTTTTTTTTTTTTTTTTTTTTTTCCTTCAAAGCCCTAATATATATAGACAGATTATAGCATATATGGTTCACCAATTAGGCCGACTCAAATAGGAATAGCGCGCCTCTAACGAGTCTTACTCGAGTTGATATAACTAAAAGATTCTAGACTTGATCATGGTAACTCAAGACAGTTAAAGACGAGTCATGCATGGTATAAGATGAAGACCTAAATCATTTAATACCATTTTCTCACCCTTGTTTTTTTTTTTTTTTTTTTTTTTTGCACACAACCAGCGCGCACACACTCTCTCTCTTAAACTCACATACACCTTTAATTTGACATTCAAAAATCAAAATCAGTAACATGAAGCCATGTATCTTTAATCAAATGCACCCCAAACATAATTTAATGGGTGTGTTTTAAAATTCTTTTTCTTTGTTATTTTGATTCCTTTCACATCACTTTAAGTATTGTTTTAGATCCCTTCTCACTTAATTCTATGTTGTTGAATGATGTAGTAATGTGTTTATTTATTTATTTATTATTTTTTAAATGGTAAAACAAACACACAAACCTCTACGTCCTCTTTAAGGATGAAAAAAATTATATTATTAATTAAGCTTAATGTCCTTTCCAATGTAATAATGTGTTTTATTGAAGAATTTTTATTTATTTCATGTTAAAGTCTATTATTTGCTTTTTAATTTAGTAACAAGTCTAAAATATTCAATCTTTACCGCCAACAACAAATTAAAATTCATGTAAAAGTTATTACTTGTATTAAATTATCTTTGAATGTCAACATAATGTTAAAATTCATTATGTAGTAGAAATTTGGGTATACCAATTTGTTTCGCTCTATGTGTAAGATTAAAAAATATATAGTGCCCAATTTTGTTTGGTTATGCCTGATAAGGAACTGCCTCAGCGAAAATAATTTTTAAAAATGATGATATTTGGCAAGATATAGGTGTTCATTATATATATATATATATATAATTTGCAGGAAAACGGGGCAATTAATGACAAAGGAACGAGGCGGCCCCTGTTTCAAAACGTTTGGCACTAGGAATGCGGCAACTTGTCGCCTCTTTACCTTTCCATCACTCGTTGGTTTATTATGTTGTTATAGACACACACAAATAGAGATTAAGTTTATATTCAAGTATTATATATTGAGAGAAATGTGAAAAGAATACTTCTTAAAATATGCCAAACAACACAAGCACCAAATAAAGTGTGGAAACAAAACTTGGAGTAATTTGTCCGAAGAAAAGTCAAATTTTCTAGGTGATTTTATTTTTATTTTTTATCACACTCATTCGAGGAGTCGAACAATCTACTAATTAGGCTATTGGTTATTGCCCTTTTAGGTGAATACCTTGATTTGATAGGTGAACATTTTGTAATAAAAAAATTTCAAAATTCTGACATAGTAGTACTATGGAAGGTGATTAAAGATAAAATCAATTTCATTACAAAAATTAATGAAAAAAAGTTACATCTATATCTAATTTATTTGTGAAAGTATGACAATACTAGATAATGACCTTACATTACCTAATTTGAAGAGAGAACAAATATAATGTTAAAATATTGGTTAAAATAGCAAACAGTTGCAGAAATTTGACCCTTTTGATGATAATGTTTATAAAATATATAGGATAAATCACCCAGCTCAAGACTATAATAGATTAAGTAAGTTAATTATCAAGTTTAAAATTCTTTTCCCTTCTGTGTTGCGTATGGAGAAGAGCTGTTTTGTGTAAAAAGTCAGCGACTCTCTCTCTCTAAAACCATCCTCTCTTTGTTTTTGAGCAGAACAACACCGGCCAGTTTCAACCTTCGAAAACTTGTTTTCCATTTTTGCTTCCTATAAGTCTTTCATAGATTAATTCAACACTTTGAACCCATACAAGTGCATGTCCTTTACGTCTGTTCGGTGCAAAACACACCAAACCAGCTAAAGAAAGTTAAATGATATTGTACTTTGTGTTGTTCTCCAACTATGTGTAGTTACTTATTGCAGAGAATGGAGAATTATCAAGGTGATTTGACTGACATGCTTCGAGCCAGCGGCGGCAGTGGAGGAGGCGGCACAGCCGGTGAACAACCACCAGTGGGCAGTGACTGGCAGTTTCCATCCCACCCCATGAATTATCCTTCAGAAATCGAAGAACCCGTGGACGATTTCGGCGATCCATTCTCCAACATTCGAGATCCACTTCTTCACGAGCTCAATATACCCAATTCAAACTTCTTTGACAGCTCAAACAATTCTTTGGACATGACTAAAACAAGTCATGTTGAAGCCTTAGGTGGTGGTGGTGGTGGTTTTAATAGTGGTGGTGTTTTTAGTCATCAGCAGATTATTGACCGTGATGATCAGATAAAGAGGCCTTGTAATGTGTTCTCAAGGATGCTTCAGATCTCACCGGTATCACCCTGCGATTCGCCGGTGGTGGCCGCCGCCGCCTCTCCGAGGGAAACCAAGGTTCCTGCCTTAGTTGCTAATGATCATATGATTAGTGGTAACAGCTCCAAAAGTTGTTTGATTGAACATACTGGGATACAGATCTCATCTCCGCAACATACGGGTATTAAAAGAAGGTGAAGTTCAATTGATGATTATTTTTTTTAAAAAATTAAATGTTATTTTAGTTTTGATCAAGTTTATATTTTATGCAATACCCAAATGATGAGTTATATATAGGAAATTAATTAATTGTTTTGTTAGAAAACTTGGGCTTATGCTAATTCATGGTAAGGATCTGAAAATAGGGATTGATAAACATTATTGTATCTATATAATGCATGTCTAAATGAATTAAGGTTGTCATCTCTATGATTTAAATGAGACTTTGGTTTTTGTCAATATTATACCTCCAAAACAAAAAATATATATATAGCTTGATAGGTTTAAATCAAGCTGAAAAAGTAGACCAAGTGTTATCACAATAGTATTCCACAGACTTAGCATTATTCATGTAGCTATCTATGGCTACTTTTCCTCCATGGATCCACCTGAAAAGAATGTGTGTTTTTCACTGGTTTGGCCCCCTTGGAATTTACTATCCCTTTCAACTTTCTTAATGAAGATAAACCAAAACAAACTGTTCAATTCTCCACAAAGTAGAATTGGAGAATTCTGCACCACCAAGATCGATTTATCGAGTTCATTGAATGATGAAATTGAATTCTCCATGCCCAAATTTTAGATTAAAAAATTAAAAAAAAGGGGGAAAAAAAGAAAAAATAACTTTTTCCTATTGATCATGTTATTCTATAGGCAAAACTATCCTTGTAATTAATTTAAAATTACTCATGCATGCAGGAAGAGCCAAGCAAAGAAGGTAGTTTGTATACCTGCACCAGCACCTGCAAACAGCAGATCAACTGGGGAAGTAGTTCCATCTGACCTCTGGGCTTGGAGAAAGTATGGTCAGAAGCCTATCAAAGGCTCTCCTTATCCAAGGTAATTAAGTATCTTCCAGGTATATATTATATATCACTTCTGATTATATATAACAAAGTTATAAACAAAGTGTAACCTATTTTGTATTTCGGTGCTTAGCATGCAAAAGTAAGATTGTGTATATCTGACCCTTTCACAGGAGCCTTGTGGCTAGCCCTTTGTTTTTTCACTCATGTGTCATCCTTGCAACATGAATTTTGGCAAATAATTTATAAGTCCATTCTTATCACAACCAAGCTAGCTAGTTTTACATTGCTTTTACAATGGGAAATTGAACACCACATACCTTCATTTAACTAACACAGATTGACTATATATATTTATATATATATATTAATGGTTATACACGCAACTCAAATTGACTATCAATATGATGGTAGTCATATGTTGTTGCTGTTGCTGGTGTGGCTCCCATCTTGTTGCTATGGTTGATGTATGTTGTTGTTGATGTTTGTTGTTGTAGTAGTTGTTGTCATGTTTGATTTAGATGTCTGTTGCTAGAGTTTTTCTTTCTTCCTTATTTAGGGCACAATGTACATTCTTTCCTTTCTACACACAAGATTTTTCCTTTAACTAAAAAAAAAATTGACTATCAATATTAATGGTTATTGATATGATTATTAGTATTTTATGATAGATTTTTACTTGTCACTCTCATAATTCACTATAGAATTATAGTGAGGTTAGGATTAATTAATTAGAAGAAAATTCGATACTAGTTAATTCAATTTATTCAAAACCATTCAGGGGATATTACAGATGCAGTAGCTCCAAGGGTTGTTCTGCAAGGAAACAAGTCGAACGGAGCCGGACTGACCCTAATATGTTGGTCATCACATACACTTCTGAACATAACCATCCATGGCCAACCCAGAGAAATGCTCTAGCTGGTTCTACTAGGTCCCAACCATCAAAGAGCAATGCAGCTTCAAAGAATTTACCAGCATCTCAAACTCAAAAGACAACAAGAAGCTTGAAGGAAGAAGAAAAGGAGTCCAATTATACTACTCATGAAAATAATGTATCATCATCCACTAATATCACTGCAAATTCCACAAATACAGGTTCATCTGTGAAAGAGGAGATGGAAGACCTTGATAAGCAAATAGAAATGGATGATGATGAGTTCAGTACTGAAGGGTTTATTCAGAGTTACAGGCCGGCATTGCCAGACTACTCCTCCAACCAATGTGAGGACTTCTTTGCAGATTTAGGAGAAATAGAGGCTGACCCTCTAAACCTCTTGTTCACCCAAGCATTCACAGCAGATGAGGAGAGAGAAAACAACAAGGCCTTGGATCCATTCAGTCTCTTTGATTGGACAGCAAGCAACAACAATAACACTTCAATTGATCATCAAGAAGCTAAGAGGGGTTTGTAGAAAAGACCTTGAAACATGCATTAACAGAATCCCCCACTAAAACACAGACTCTTATATAGTTGGTGTTTGTTTTTTTCTGGTGCAATTTCATTCAATTAAGGTCATTTTATATAAGCCTTCCCATTGTAGTTTGAGCTTTCATGTCACGAAGTTTGAGCATGGATCCTCTATTGTAATAACACTGTGCTGTACAGCAGGATATATAACTCAGATTGCTCACACATTTGAAGTGTTCACTGTTCTATACAGCATAAGCAGGAGACGACTTAAATTGCTTGCACGTTTGGAGCGCTCACACGTATAGATGATCACAACAGTCATCTACTGTACCACCCGATACTGTTACATGGAAAGGTCCCAACTAGGGAAGTTTTTAAAGTTGTTACTCCCTTTTTTATTGTCATTTATGAAAAGAGGCAGGAGAGATTAGGAAAGAAGAGAAAGAGAGTGTTGGTTAATTGGGAGCAGACTCATGAGTCCCACATTCCCTTGGAATATTAGTGGATGGGACAGAAAGCTAAGGAACAGAAGGGTTGAACAGTGAAAACAAGTACATCTCTGAGACACGATTGAAAGCTCAGTGAGAAGATTGATGAAAGATGAGACACACACACACTCTCATCCCTTATAGAGTGGGAAAAATTATTCAATTGCAAAGTTTGTCCCTTTCTGATCATGTGAGTATGTCAAAAATTAAAAACCATGCTTTATTTGCTTTGATAAGCTAAAAGAAAAAGAAAAGATAACGACTACCATGGAAGATGACAAGTGAAAGTGGGGGATGAAAAAAATATTATAAAAATCTTGACTTTTCATATCAATCTTCTAGGGATGTGTAAAAGGGCATACAAAAGCTTTGTGTTCCTCAGCTTTGTGTTTCTTTTATTCAATAATTTATGTTTATTTTGGATTACGAAATTGTTAAATTTATGTTTTGCATGACTGTTTCTAACTTCTGTCTCCCACATGTATGTGTAGTATATAGTCATTTTAGCTGCAAATATACCATTTCTTTTCGATAATTTACTTCAAGTATTTTAGCTATTAATTAAAGGAATTTTTACGGCTAAAATTAAATGAAAAGAAAATACTATGTAGTTTTTTGTTGTTGCTTTTGTTGTTGATCCTTTCTTTTTTATCCAAGTTGAGTGAAAGAAAATATTGATTTAAATTTATATTGAATATTTTAGAAATTGGACCAGATATTAAAAAAAGAAAAAGGAAATTAAAGAGAACTAAAGAGAAAATAAAACCTATGAATGTGAAGAACTAGTGAAACTTCAACAATCAATTCCATGAGGTTCGATTTGGCCAAAAAAAAAAAAAAGGTAAGGAATTACCTAATAAACTAGAAGAAATATATTGCCTTGACTTATTGTTGTCTTGCTCTGTTGATGGCCTCGGCCTTTTTGTTATTTTGTTTTCCCCTCTTTGAGGGCACCATGTAATTACTCTATTATCTTCAATACAAGCCTACTCTTAACTAAAAAAAAAACTAGAAGGAATATAACAATTATATATTTTAAAATATTTAGAAATATATAACAAGAAAAGATTGGAGTAATTCCTTCTTCTAGCAAAAGTGGACTTATAATTTACATCTGCAGTGGAAAGCTTTCACCTGGAAAAAATAAAAATAAAAAAATTAAATAAATAAAGAGTTAGAAGTTCATATTCATTTTGTTTTTGAATACCAAAATTAATTTAAAAATAAAATAAAATAAATAAAGGCTGCCTAAAAAATTGCCCAATATATTCCTCCAAATTTCTGAATACCAAAATTAATTTAAAATCATGGACATTTAGTACCTCCATTGGTCATGTGAGCAACTTTTTCGATCATGTAATTTTGTTTGTTGATAAACAGTGACCTTGGGTTCAGTCAAATCCATCAACTTTAATGAAAGCATTTCATGCCCACTTTCAATTGAAGTCACTTCGTTTGGAGGAGAAAAAGAACAGTCTAAAGTTCGTAATGGGTGTTTGATTGATGGGTTTAGAGTCATTATGTGTTTGATTGAATTTTTTTGCACATTTGGGAATATATTGGAGTTACTGTAGTAATAGTTTTGATTCTGAAAAGAGTGATCAACTTGTCTTCGTTGATTGACACACACCTAAAGCTTCATGACCATTTTAGTCTTTTGAACATTTGGTGATGTACAGATACAAATAAGTTCATCTGCCATGATTTGAAGTTTTCTTATGTATCTCTATTCTCTAATCCTTAAAAACATGCTAATGAAACATCAATTGATGTTTTCCTAGCTGTTTGGTCAAACATTCATTTCAAATTTACTGTTATCACACATCATCAGTACAAGGGTTAAATTGGATTGTCCTTATCTCCTCCATATCTCTCTGATTAGCCCTAACGTAAAGCAATAATCCATCTCTTAGTTACACAGGCTAGCTAAGTTGCTTAACTAATGTGGAACAACATCACAAATCTAGGTACAAATGAGGATGAAAAACTCTTGGTCTGATTATGCAAGTATTGTGCGTAGTCAATTGCCAACAGTATCCAATGCGCGAGAAATTAATAGCAAACTCTACACTTGATGAGTCAAAATCTTTTTTAGTGATTTGTATTTAACAATAGACTAAGAAATGCTGAGATCAAACCAGTGTATCGTAAAATACTAGTATACTGAAAAAGATCCTAGTTATTGTAGGTGAAGTGATCCCACTATCACTAAAACTCTCTTAGTTACAGAGGCAACCTCTTAACTAATTTGCAACATCACAAATTCTAGGCACAAATGAGAATAAACACTCTTGATCTGATGCAGCAAACATTGAATGCAATAATGTGCTGAAAACAGTGGACTCCACCCGAATAAACTCCGATCCTAACCGACTTTTTTACTTAATGGACTTCTAGTTCCATGATACAATATCTCTTCCTCAAGTGGGGAGGTGTAGATTGAGAGTTTAAGTCTCACTAGGGCATGAAAATTTGAATAATGGGTGTGTGTTTGATTTAATTAAAAAAAAAAAAAAATCAACAACAACAATGGACTTGACACTATTGATGAGTCAAAACCTTTTCTAGTGACCTGCGTGTATGTGTATTCAGTAATACACTAAGATGGGCTGAGATCAATACCATTGTATCGTAAAATACCGGTGCATTCCAGAGAATGTTAGACATTGTTAGTGAGGTGATCCCACTCTCGCTGCTAGCCATTAATTCTTCTTTTTCTTTTTTCTTTTCCTTTTTTCTCTCTTTTTTTCTCGTGCAAGATAATTTTAATTTTTTTCCCAACAAGAATCCATCTCTTAGTTATAGAGACTACCTTGCTTAACTAATGCTCAACATCACAAATTCTAGGCACAAAATTAATGAGAATGAAAAACTCTTGGTCTGAAGCAGCAAACCTTGTAGATGGTCAATTGCTAATGTTAGTAAATTGAAGAACTAAAATCTTTTCTAATGCGCAGATTCACTGCACTAGAGAAGACATAGATTAATTAAAACTTGATTTGATAATTGATTTCAACCTCTTTCAACGTGTGAAAAGATGTTGACTATTGATAGTTGGCGTGATTCCACTATCTCAGTACACTGAATTTTAGTTCTGAGATGAAACTCTAAATTTTATCATTAAAAGTAACAACCAAAGCATCACTTTCAAATCAATCTATGAGCAGTAAATTTTTAGTCTTTTACAAATTATTATTACTATGATAATAGGAGAGAGAGAGATTTGAACAGATAATTTTTAGGGTGGCATTAGTGAGCAATTATAGCTATTAAGTAATATTTTATTGGTAAGCTATTTCAATCATGATCATGATCCACTCTTGGTATAACTTGTCTTTCCATAAGCAACAGAATATCATGAAATCCCTCATGCTTTGTGCTTTCCATTTAATAATTATTTTTGAGCAATTCAAAGATATAAATGTCACTGTTAACACCATCCACAAACAAAAAAATATAATAAATATAATAAATAAATAAATAAATCTCCCACAGTTGTTAATCGATTTAATGTTTATCTTATCGTATCATGTCTGAGGAATAAATTTAGAAATCAAAAGTAATTTATTTTGAATAAAACCCGTTGAATTTAATTGAGCCAGCTAAAATTTAGTCTAGGATTGTATAAGTGGTATGGCTAGGACAATTTCTAGTCTTTAAAGGCCCCACCATTTATCATGATGGTGGGTCATACAAGACTTGAGTTTTTGTTGGCCTTTTTAGCCTATTGGCCCAAAAAGCATAGCTCTTTTTAGTCAGTAATGGAAGTGAGGGACCCAATGGTTTTTACTTATTTATGCTGAGTTCTTAGCTTATTTACTTAATCGAAAAGAAAATATAGTCTAGGAAAATAAAATAAATGTTGAGAGAAAGTCCATTTTTATTTTTTACTGATAAAAAGTATTTGATGAGCTTTATTTATTAAAAATGTAACAAAAAAAATAATGATATATATATATATATATATATATATATATATGTATGTATGTATTATATCATTACTCTGTAATCTATTTTTAATTATGGGTACTGAGCTTCAGCATCCGGTTAGTGGATTCTTGGAAATAATGATGGGGAAAAAGGACTAAGCCCTAAATGTTGAATCCGCCTACGAGGCTATGACTAGTGGCTTTTTAAATTTAGCTATAGCTAACATGTCTACATTAGAGTAAATCAAAGTTAATAATTTTATTTTATTTTATTTATTATTATTTTTTTTAAGGCTTGGTTTGGTTAAATTGAAATAAGTAAGAAAATAAAATAAATATAAAATGAAAAGAAAGTGAAGCATGCATTTGTATAGGATGAAAATTATAAAAAAATATTAGTTAATTAGTTCGGATAACACAAAAATGCAAAGAAAGTTGTTATACAAATCAAAACTACCCTTATGATTTCATATGCTAAAAAATAAATAAATTTGTGTTTGACAATATCCATTTTTAGTAAAGAAAAAGTAAAATGATGGATTATTAAATTTAATAATATAATTATTTAATATTTATTTTTATTATTTATATTTAAAATAAGGCTTCATAATATATTTTTAGACATAACTAATTATTAGTTTAAGAAAAGCGAAACTTAAAATAAAAGAACTGATTATATGTTATTTTTTTTTGGATACAATTATATATTATTGTTGCCAGGTATATTATTATCAAGTTTATGGTCCGCGCATACAAAGAAACTAAGTAAAAACCAAAGAAAGAAACCACTAAACAATTTGTCTCTTTTTTTGGCAAGTTGTTTTGCATTATTATATCTTTTAATAAAATAGGAATATCGAATAAAAATGAACTCCATTCACGTGAAAATATTATTTTTGCGTGTTTTTTTTTTTTTTTTGTAGAAAAATATAAAAAAGTTTTGGGAGAAAATATTTTCTTATATGTATTTTTTCCTTCTATCCAAACTTAAAAGTTTTAGTTTTTTTCCTTTTCTAGTTGATTTCATCTACCCAAGCAAAGCGTAAATAAAAATGTATTGAAAGAAAGGGAAAATATACAAAGGCAAGCATTAAGGAAGCAAAAACAGCCCAAAAGAATAGAAAAACAAGGGAAACAGACAGGCCCATAAATGTTACACAGCCAAAAGTATCCTTGATGGGCTATGTAAGGAAAATTAATGATATGGGCCAAAAAAGAGCATTTTATTCTCCTGAGATTGAGCTTGAACAGATCATGCTTGTAGCGGCATATTATATTGTTAAGGCATGTAGACCAGTTACATTGATGGGCCCCACAACAGCTTCCATGGACCTGGTATTAGCTCATATCAAGTATCTGGTCTCAGATAGAGTATTAACCCAAACCAAATGATGGAGAGATATTGTGCCTCACATTTTGAATTGTTCGGCCGGAGATTTGTTATCTCATGTTATGGTCATCTAGTGCTCTAATTGATAAAACGTCCCACTCTCGCATACTTAAATCCCTTCTCTCACTTTTTAAATTGTTGTTTTCAGTGTTCTTTTTTATTATGCTACAAAATTTAACAGTTGTTAATTTTACATTAACAAACATGTTTTCAATTATTATTGAACACACTCCACAACAAATGATAAATTTTTATTTCGAATGAAAACATAAATGAGGAAGAATATTTGAAAGAAATCATAGAATAAACGATAAAGATGTGCAGAAATGGAGAAGACGTCGAAAACAACTTTGCTTTACCATTAAGAAGGAGGTGGAAGAGTCAACCATTTTGAAATTATTCTTGATTTTCGTTTCTATCGATTTCAGTTTTCGTTTCTATCAAATACATTTTTATCCAATTTCATACTTTGACCATATTTTCTTTGCGAATTTATTATTTTCTAGTCATCGAAATTTTGTTATATAAATTAAGACACATCTTGCATTTGCAATACCGAGTTTTCTTCTACATTATGTTTATATGCAATCTCTAACTTCAAAAATAATTTAGCGACAAAGAAATTCCTTACTTCTCTGGTAAAATAATACTATAAAGAATAGATAGATCATGTATGACTGTAGTATAGTTTAGCCAATCAATGATGTTAATTTGCTTAATATGTTGGATTAAGGAACTCATCATTTAAAGATTTTTTTTGTTTTTAACTTCATTTTCAGGTGTAATAAGTTGTGGATAAATCAATTATTCGAATAATTAATTTAAAGATTGAGTTTTTCAACTTCAAAATTAGCCATATAGTAAGTGACATTCTGAGTCTCATAGAACTCTACTTTAAATAAAGGAGGAACAGAACAAAGCCTTCATCCATTATTGAATAATCAGCATCAATGAGACTTTCACACATCAAAGCAAATGAAAGGTTCCAAAGCAATTTAAAAATTGAAAAAGATGTTCAGATTGTAATTTGACCTTACTAGCTTAGGTTGGAAAGCATTGGGTTTCTGCCACGTGTTGATGAGGGTACCAATCCCATGCCAAGCTAGTTTTGTTTTTATAACTAGATTTGGTGTGCATGTTTTGTTTGCCTAAATTCAATAAAAAGACAGAAAAAATATAAATATAAATGTTCATTTGAAAATTGAATTTTTTTATTTATCTTTTTTTTCAATCAATTTACTTTCATTTTAAAAATATATATATCAAAAGTAAAATTTCTCTTTATTTACAATGATCTCTATGGATTTATAGCTAAAATTTAATTTCAAAATTAATCAAGAAAATATAAAATTTTATTTGGATTTTGGATTATGTGAAAGTGGAGTTAAAAGACATAATGGTTGAGTTTTAAAGAAGCGGAAAGGTATGCGTCTTTGAATTTAGTAACAAAGCAACGAATGCTGCTATATTTTTTGATAACGGCATACTCTTGTGCTTCTCGCATGCTAAAACATTTTATAAACTACTATTTCCTTATCTCATACGATTATAATGAATTCTAAAACATTCTCAGTAAAACTCTTTAATATTCTAGAGGTTAATCACTCTCACAACTTCATAATTTTCTACATTAATATAAAAGACTCTTGAACCCAATTATTCTCATACCCATGCAGACGTCAAATAAAATCATTTTCAACACTTTGGTTTGTAAAGGTGGAGTTAAAGACATAAAGGTGGAGAACCATCACCTATTTATATGTTTCCTCCTCTCATGAGAGGATTATAATGTATTATAATGAATAATAATATATAAAAAAAGGGTTTGATGAGCCTTCCATCTATATAGTAGTTTATGGTCCACGTACACGAAGAAACTCAGTAAAAAAACAAAGAAAGAAATTATTAAACAATTTGTCTCTTTTTTTGGCTAGTTGTTTTGCACAATTAAATTTTTGGATAAAATAGAAATATTGAATAAAAAAAAACTCCTTTCACGTGAAAATATTATTTTCGCCTCTTTCTTGCTGGAAAATATAGAAAAGTTTGGGGAGAAAATATTTTCTTATACGTTTTTCTTTCCTTCTAATCAAACTCAAAAAAAAAAATTTAAAAGTTTAATCTTTTTTTTTTTTTTTTTCTTTTCTACTTAATTCTATCTAACCAAACAAAGCCTAAATAAAAATGTATTGAAGTAAGAGGAAAATATAAGAATGCAAAGCACAAAGAATGAAAAAAAAAGCCCAAAAGTATAGAAAAACAAGGGAAACAGACTGGCCCATAAATGTTACACAGCCAAAAGTATCCTTAATGGGCTATTAAGTAAAATTAATGTTATGGGCCTAAAAACAGCATTTTGTTATCCTGAGATAGAGCTTGAACAGATCATGCTTGTATTCGCTCTTTATATTGTGAAGGCATGTAGACCTGTTACATTGATGGGCCCCACAACAGCTTCTTTGGACCTGATATTAGTTCATATCAAGCATCTGGTCTCAGGAAGAGAATAAACCCAACCCAAATGATGGAGAGATATTGGGCCTCACATTTTGAATTGTTCGGCCCTAGTTTTGTTATCTCATGTTTATGGTGATCTAGTGGTCGAATTGGTAAAACGTCTTATTCTCTAAGCAAGTTTACTTAAATCCCTTCTCTCACTCTTTAAATTATTAAATTGTTATTTTCAGTAGTTGTCTTCTTCTTTTTTTCTTCGTATTACGCTACAAATTCTAAACATCTTTATATATATATATATATATATATATATATATTTACACATGCTAAATTACAAGAGAATAACTCAAAAAGAAAACAAGTTCAAAAAATATCTTTTTCGAGTTACAAAATTTAGACCACAATTTCAAACAATTCAAATGGATTAAGGGATTGATTAATCAAAGTTTGAATTTCATGAATGAATCGTCTTCAATCCAGTCCAATTTAATCCCACCTTCACAACCCAAACAATTTTTAGATCTATATAGCCACTAAAAAGCGTGCAACCAATCAAATAATTTGAAAAACATGCACGCATACACGTGCAATGCCACGTGGTGCAAGTAGTACGAGAATGATTGAATCATGATGAAGCTTGAAAGATGGTGCATGTGAGTTTAGGTATATGTGACCAAATGAATACACGTTCACAACATTTTGTCACATAGCCCCCCATCCAGGTGAGGTAGGCCGTAGAGCTCCATATACCTGTGGACCAAAACCCACCACCTACTTTATACATTGCGGCTCTTTCTGTCACTCTGACTCAGGTCTTCACCACAAATCTTGGCTTGATTAAAACCCTCCATCTCAATTGATCCCACATTTGAGAATTGAATCATTAAATAATTTTTATTTTTATTTTCATTTTCCGGGTGTGAAAGTCGAAAATTGGTCCATTGGTTGGCAGAGTAGACAAGGAGAGATTATTGGATGGTCTGGGACAATCGGGACCATATCGTCCCGACTAGTCCGTATCACTTTTAAAAGTGAAAGTCTTACGATCAAAACACGAATATGATAACCGAACTTGTTAAAGGCACCTACTTTGCAGGATGTTGCGTGTGTTTTGGGGTACCTATAAAGTGAAAGTCCAATGCCAGAAATTGGTCTATGAATTGGCGGAGTGGACACAGAGAGATTATTGGGTGGTTCGGGAGGATTGAGACCATATCGTCCCGGCCAACCCGTTTCACTTTTAAAAGTGAAGGTCTCGTGATCAAAACTTTCTCATGTCCAAGATGTCACTCATACGGATATGATATCTGAACTTGCTCAATGCACGTGGTTTATAAAGTATCTGAACCAAAGAAATGAATTTAGCTTTAATCTCTGTTTGGATCGGAAGAAAACAAGCATTTCAAACAGCCTCCAGGCTAGCTCACAGGTTCAGAACCTGGAAAGGGGAGCACATGGTCTTGATAAAATCTGAGAGCTCCAAAAATGGCTAAAACCAAAAAATGTTTCTGTAATCTTGTTATAACAATTTGGGTGCCTATGATGTCATTATTTTGATGCCTATCTTTCTGCGTAATGTGTGTGTGTATAGATAGATACATAAGATGATATGTCTCTATCCATAGAAATTCAAACCACATTACATGTTGTGCTACACATGACTAGTTCCTCTGGATGTAACAAGGTACATGTATTCTGCACCCACCATATATATATCTGAAGCCATTAATGATGAATCATATGTATATCACATGTTAGGCTGGTCCCACACCATCTTCAGTGATGATTGGTTAGAACCACACCACTCTAGCTTCACTATAAATACCATCAATCACTTCATGTGTATTCTTCATATCTAATTTTGTGTTAGCTAAGCACACACTGTGGTCTAAACATGAAGAAGCAGCTAAACTTGATGCTCAACAAATGCAAGAGCCTTTCAAGGCAGCTAGGGAGGTCATCTTCGTACAGTAGCTCAAGCTCAAGATCAAAATCAAGTGAAGAAAGCTGGGGACAAGAGACGGTTTTTGTGGGGACTACAAGGAAGCGATACGCCATAAGTTCAGACCAGTTGAACCATCCTCTGCTGAATGCTCTCATTGATCATGACAAGTCCAGGGAGTGTCCTGGTGGAGAAATATTGGTGAAATGCGAGGTGGTTCTCTTCGATCACCTTTTGTGGATGCTTGACAATGCAGAACCCCAACTCACTACTGATTCATTTGAAGAGTTGGCCAAGCTCTACGTGCTGTGACACTTGCTTTGCTTGCATTCGTGGTGATGATTATAATTTTGCTTTGTTTCTAAGATATGAGCGTTCGTTCTGTATATTTTGATTTCTTGTAGGATCTTTAATTTTGATCTTTTTGTGACTAAGATTACTTTTCGTTTGGAAGCATGGAATCCATGCTTTGGACTTGGACTAATTTTGATGTTTTCGCGACTAGATTACTTGCTATGTTTGTCATCATGAAGGGGCCTTAAAACAGAACTGCAAGAAAAGGTGAAAAATGAACATTTGTCGCAAAATCTTAGGACATGTGTAGGAGATATGATAAGTAGTAACTGTTTTGAATCTTGCTAAATTTGGTGAAACAATGTTTTTTGGAGCTTACTCATTTTTACTATTTATGTGAAGTTATTCAAAGTGCTTGAATTTCAGTCAGAAGCAAATATGGAATGTGAAAATGAAAGCAACATGAAATGATCATCCATTAAAATTTAAAACCAACTAACAGTAAACATGGTAAAGGCCTCAAGTAGGGTGACATAAACCCCCCCACAAAATATGGCCTTAATGGTCTTATTCAACGCCTTCCTACATCCCTAGCATCACTCCTTCCCTAATCACTGAATCAATTCAAGCATTTCAGTGGATCCTGCAAAATCAAAATTATAAAATGTAATTAGTTGTGTGAATTAATAAATTGTTTTAGGTCTAATTATGATGGACAAGGTAAGTAATTTACTCACGTTTCACAGTTGACGCTGAGTGAGACAGGGAATCCAACTTTGATCTTGCAAGCGGTAGGAATTTGGCTCAAGAACTTGTCCTGCACGCCTTTAAGGTTTTTGACACCGGCCTTGAGGCACCTGCAGATAGTCTTCTTGTCATCAACCGATTTCACGCTCTGAGCAAGCTGCTGCAGCCCATTGCAGCATGCAGTAGATGGCTTGGCATCCTTGCCGGAGGCATAATTCACACAAGCAGCGGCCTCCATGTCAACGGTGCTGCATGGTATGGTTGCATCGCTAACGTGAGCGAGGAAGAAGAGGACGGAGAGGAGGAATGCCACAGAGAAGAAGAGGTTCTTCATGGTTGATTAAGTGTCAAAGTAAGTGAGGACTATTGTGGTTTGCTCTTTGGAGGCAGTTGGTTTTGATGGAAAGTGGTGTAGGGGTTGTTTGGTTTATATAGGGAAGGTTTGGGACATTAGGACTTTGAATTGTGGGGAATTCTATTTTCCCAATGAGATTTGATGGATAAGTTTTGCAGGTTATTTCATTGGGGTTGATGACAGAAAGTGAAATGTATTTGCATTTGAGGCCTGGATACTGGGATGTGTTTGGTGTGTGGGAAGATAGAAAATTTTAGGTTCTTGGGATTGACAAAGGTTTCCATCAATGTTTTATCTTGGACAGTTCCTTGGACCACCAACGGATCAATATCTTCAAAAATATGTAAGCAATGAAATTCATATGCCCTTCAAATTAAGACGGTCTTGATCAGATCAAATCGATAATTTTATCCCTAACTATTTAAATTCAACTCCTGTAAACAACACAAGTGAGATTTTCCATGAACTCCAGAGCTGTTTTCATTTCATAAACAAGGACTTGTGTGCTATAGTGCCAGTTTATGTGTGAATGCAGGCGCTTGTTACTTTGATAACAATTACTTTGGAGTGAAACAGAGCAGTTGAAATGGATTGTGTTGATTTGTCATCACCATTCTTTCATATGTTTAATCATCCAGTGATTTGCTTCAGAAATCTTATTGACTAATGTTTTCTGAAGCCCCTAAGAAACAAAAAGAAAAATTGTAAATTTTACTTGAATAGTTTAAATGGTTATTGGCCGAGCACTATGACGCGCGCACACACAAACAGAGGAAAAAGTAAAAATTTAGTAGTTGCCTGTTACTCATTTCAAAATGGTTGCTGTGCCTCAACAATTGGCCATTTTAGTGCATCCCAATTTTAGATCATGTTGGAACTACAGTGTTTGCTTGAACAAGAAAGGTGAAAGAAGTGAGGTAGCAGAGATTAAATTGGGATATAGTAAATGGTCATCTAGCATAGATTGTTCCATACACTTTCCTAGTAATTATTCAGATATAGAATGATAGAACCAAGGAAATAGATTTATAGCATTTTGAAAACAATTGTGAGGTTCTGATTACTAGCTTGGAATTCCTATTGTCTATCATGTTCATATAATACGCCTATATATTTATAACGTGTCAATGAATGTGGGTAGAAAGAAACTATCTTATTGCTCCTATTGATATATTTTTTTGGATGATGCTTAGTTATTTATCGGTGAGTAACTTTACCCTACTCATTATTTATATGTTATAATAGCAAAATAACACTTTAGCTTTAATAACAAAATAGCTCACGCCCTCCTCTGCTTTCTCGGATCAATCATTGAATAATTGTACAGGGCTTTTTTGATTGTTTTGCTGATTTTATTATTAAAGATGATGTGTTATTTTGTTATTGGAACACATAAGGGTTGAGTAGAGTATACTGTATAGCTACTCACCGGTGAGTAGTTAAATATTATCTTTTTTTATTATTATTATTGTTATTATTTTGGATTAATTATACTCACACCCTCTGAGATTTTAGTCAATTTCATTCAGTGGCTAGTCAACGCAATTTTGGACAATAACACTCCTGAGGTTTCAAATAACGTAAATGCGCTCGAATTAAATTCAATTATATTCATAAAATATCAATAATGTGAACAGACAAGAATACCACTCTGCAATTGACAACAAAAGAAAAAATAAAAATTCCATGTCAACAATGTAAACCGACGATTTTGGATGAAAACGAGACAGAAATTTCTAAACGTTTGAGGTAGAAGGTACACCGAACCAAAAATAAGTTCAAAAATTAAATTCAAGACTGGCACAGTTCAAGCCGCGTTTTAAATGATCTTATTTCAATATATTTAGAGACTCGCTTGCACAAGTTCCCATGGACCAAACATTACCATTGGGCTAAGTAGGCCTGTCAACTTACAAATAAGAGTAATAAGGACGAAAGTGAAGTGGAAAGTGTGTGTACCCATGGCCCAAATTCACACCCTACCTGCTTTTCTTCCCCATATTGGCCTTCCATTTGGTAGACTCGCCTCATTACCAGAGTCGAGCGTCTTCGCGCAGCGAGTGAGAGCTTGTGGGTGTGAGATGGAGGCCGGCGGGTCTGACACACAAGGCCGGGAATTCAAGAACGCCGAGGAGATGTGGAGAGAAGAGCTTGGAGATCACCAGAAGAAGTCTGAATGGTATCGCGAAGGCGTTGGGTATTGGGAAGTATGCACCCTTCTTCTTATACTCCAAAGAATTCTTCTTTTTATGTGTTCTTCTTCTTCTTCTTTATGTTTGTTGTGAGTATTTGTTTCATTTATTAGTGTTGATTGTGTTGTTTGGAAGAAAAGGGTGTGGAGGCATCAGTTGATGGAGTATTGGGTGGATTTGGGCATGTTAATGAGCCTGATATTAAGGGCAGTGAGGTATTTCTCAATACCCTTTTCGCCGAACGTTTCGACGGGGGAAGAAACCGGCATCTTGTAGCTCTCGGTAGCCCCTCTCTTTCTGTCTCTGTTGTATACACATACATTAACTGATACACGCCCGACCAGCCTGTCAAGATAGAATTTTTTGAGATATTTCATTTTAAATTTGGTGCCTGGTGAATGTGAATTGATTGAGATTATATTGCTATATGATGAGAGATAAATTGTACATAAGCTGCATGATTTTTTTTTTTTAGTTGGCATGTAGTATATAAAATAGGTCATGTGAAAATATATATGTTATTGTAGAGATTTGTCTAAGTGTGTTTTATGCATCTGGGTAATTTTTTTTATTATTTAATGATGTGATTATTGATGGTAAATATTTTTTATGTATCAGATTACGAGATCATTTGAATGATATATAGGTGTACAAATGAAATGTATAGTAATAATTATATTGTAAGTTTAAGAAATTCAAATATTAATCTTAATAGAATCGAATAAACTTCTTAATTTGTTTTAGCTCAATCCTAACCAGATTTTGTAAATTAGGTTCATATTCAAAGAAATAAATGTGATTCTTCTTCATAATCAGATCTTAGTATTTTCAAATCATATTCGACTCGGACTAATAAGTTAGGTGTAGATTGGACAAAATGGAGGCAAGCTGGTGGTGTTTTGTGTGACAAACGATTACCATATGAACTAAAAGATTTTTTTTTAGAACAGTTTTTAGGCCAACTATTCTATATGGCGCAGAGTGTTGGGCATTAAAAAAGAATCAAGAACAACAATTCATGTAGCGGAAATGAGGATGTTATGATGGATGGAGTAACTAGAAAAGATAGAGTTTAAAACCAAAATATGAGGGAGAAACTAGGTGTAGCACATATTAGTGACAAGATTAGAGAGAGTAGAATTAGGTGGTAAGGACATACACATAGAAGATCTATAGATGCATCCTTGAGAAGAGGAAGGGTAATTTGCATAGAGGGTAGGAGGCAATGAGGGCATCTGAAATAACATGGAATGAAATTATTATAATTGATTTTAAAAGTTAAATATTAGAGAAGAGATTGCGTGTAATAGATACGACTGAAAAAAGAGAATTCATGTGGCCGACTCCATTTATATGGGATTAAGGCAGGGATGATGATGATGATGAAGATTTGACTCAGACTCCTCAACTGCCCTAAAAACCATCTTCGTATGTTTAAAAAACCCAAAAAATAGCTAATTTTTTAATGTTACTAGAGTTAAGTTTAGGTTACGGATTGAACAATTGTCTAACGCAGGTAACATTTTTTTACCATGAATTGCAACTACACTAAAATTAGAATGAATATTGTTTCTAGGACAATTTTTTTGCGATGTTTGAACACTTTAATGGAATTACATAGTTCCTTATATCCCATCCCCATCATCCACACTGGCCTAAAGACCTACAAAGACTAGATGATATAACAAGAGAAATCTTCTATAAATTTGGTTCTTGACCTCTCAGGCTAATAATTAGGAGTCCCACCGTCCACTATCTCACTAAGATAAGTATGCACAAATTTCAACACATAAAAAGTAACCAAACATGTGGTCTGAATGACCGATAAGTGGAGGAAAAGCTGTTTAAATTTTTCTGTGTCTAAGAATCCACTGATTTGGGATTGCCAAGCTCTTGGCTGTCATGTTATCAGTATCTTTTAGGTATTATTGACCAAGTGTAGACACTACTTTTGATGGCATTTTGGATTTTGAAACAACCTTGGTTAGGAGCAACTTGCATTTTCTCTGTTGAAGTTTCATAAATTGATCACATTGAAAAGTCACCTAAACTCCCATCGTCTTGTATGCCCCCCGCCGCCCCCTCCCCCCCTCCCTAAGGATCACATCTATACTATGCACCTTTGTGTCTCTCTTTCAATTGAATTCAACTCCACTTGTAGTGATTTTTCTTGAACATCCTAACCTAATCAACACGTTCTTGTTTCTGTGGATTTTTCCTATCCCAAGAAGCAATGCCTTAATTCATCCCAAAATGTCAGCATAAACCCACTTCCCGCCATAATATGCAGGGATTATAAAATTTGCCTAAACTGGATTCTCTGGTAGTTGATTCTTATGAGAAGTTTATTTATGTAGAATTCTTTTTGCCCGTAAATCTTACTGCTACTAATACTGCTGTAGATTGTGGTTCTGGCATTGGGAGGGTCAGCAAGAATCTTCTCATAAGATACTTCAATGAGGTAAGATGCGTGTGTATATATATTCATACATATACACACACATATTTATGTATATATATTCATACATATACACATTTTTAACGTCTTTACCGGGGAAAAGTGTTTTTCGTCTTTACCGGGGAAAAGTGTTTTTAGCGTATCCTTAAAAAATACTGCAAGAGCATTTTAATTTTTGGATTCCCAATGATATTTTTTACTCACGTGGATTTGTCTTTTATGTGTTGCAATTTTTTTTATTATGAATTCATGGAAGAATGAACAACTAAATCGTCAATACTACCTAAATGAAAGGTGAATCTTTACTTAGATGCCAGATTTTCTATTGAATCCTTGGATTGTGAATTTTGATTGAATTAGGGATCATGTAATAACTTTATTAACTTCAAAGTAGCATTCTTAATGAAGAGATAAAGTGGGAATCATAACATATTGTACCTTCTTTTGATGATGTTATAGTTAAAAAGAAAATGGAGTACTGGGTTGAGTACCTTCCTAACCAATGAAACTAAGAGTGTATAACATATCTGTGATACAATATAATAGTGCAATTACTGATGAAGGGAATCCATTCCTATATAAGATGTATTTGGTCAATTTAGCTAGTTAGCAAAGCTAAATTCATTTCTTTGGTTTTTTCTTCTTTGCTTTATTACAGTTTTTAGCATAACTTTTGAAGCCTTCTCAAAGCTAGCTTTTTTCTTCTTTTTATTTTTATTCTTGTTCTTCTTTCTTGAACATTTATGGACTAGCATCAATGTTGTAGTGTTTGGCTGTGATATCAAAGTGGATTAATTGCAGTTAAATTTTTTAGATGTATAAGCTTCCAAGGAGTTGGAAGAATCACATCCATGGGGTTGTCTGCACTCTCAATAGATTGGTTTAATTTTTAACTTTTATTTTTAATTTTTATTGGGAGATCCTCACAAACTTTCAACTTCATCCCGTGTCCCATCATAGAATCTTTATTTATAAGGGTTTTTTATTTTTTATTTTTTTTATGATAAAGAGAATCTTTATATAGATTTAGAAACAATCATCAAAGCACCAAATTTGGGCTTTTATTAAATTTGGCAAAGATGTTTAATTATAGTGCATTAGAGCTTAACATTTGGGAATGCAAATTGCTGTCAGTTAGGAAGGTACATGAACTCTCCTATTCCCATTGATGCACCCATGTCGACACAACACAATATGGGTAGGGGATCTGTTCCTGACACATGTAGTCCAAATTGGACACTCAGATTCTCGGCTGCTCTGTTTGGAACCAAATTCTTTGGGATTTGGATTTAGAATTAGAAAAGAAATTGAATTGGAATCAAAACGGGATTTCATATTTGTGTTTGGATTAAACTAGAATTTTAAAAAATAATTGGAAATAAAATATAATTTTGTACCATTTTACCCTATAAATATATATGCATACAACAACGAATATTTATCAGTTTATATCAAACATATGAAATATATATATATATATATATCAATAGTACTGTAGTCGATGAGAGAGTTCAACTAAAATGGGAACAAGAGAGTTTCAACTATGATGATAATATTGCAGTAATTGACAAGAGAGTTTCAACAATAATAATAAGAATAGTTCAGGAGCTGAGGAAAGAATAGTGCAGTATTAGATATTTAGATGAGAGAGTTTCAACGATGATAGGATAATCTCTCTCTCTCTCTCTCTATATATATATATATTTGTTTCCAGTAAATATGATGATAGAATGGTATTTTATAAAGTGAAGACAACTTTAAACTGGAGATGAGAGAAGTGAAAAGAGGAGGGTTATTTTTGGTAAGTTCAAATTTTTAATCTGTTTACACTCCAAATCCCCTCAATTTCTGTCGATTTTTCTTGGATTTCTCAACACTATCGTTTAAAATTCCATCTATTCCAAACAACCGAATCCTTTTTGAAATCCAATTCCCATGAAATCCCATTGTTCACAGCAAGGTGATGATGGAAGAAGAAAAGTTTAAGTTTGATATGAGAAATGGGTTTCTTACTTCTAAGATAGATGGAATCTCCCTTTTTAAACTCATCCCACATTTGATTTAAATTATAATTGGGTATTTTTAATGAAAAATAGAATAATATGTTACACTATGAGAATAATATATTATGTATCTAATGTTTAGGATGTGTTCATGACTTCATGTACCCATTCCCAACATTTGGATACGTTTCAAACCAAGTCTATATATCCTATATTTGGGATGAAGGTCGGTCCGATATTTAGACACATATCTGCACCCGGCACAAGAACATGAATTCATGTAACTTGGTATTTTTAACATTTTAGCGAGGAGTCAGCGACCAAAGCCTAGTGAACGCCAGCCACAACCCATTGTCTTGGCCATTGAAGCATGTGCGTCACCTAGGGCATAGGGGGCATGATCACTCGATGTCATCCTCCCTTTTCATCCAGCTTATTACGGGCTGTCTATTTAGGGTTCCAAACTCAATAATTGCAAGAAAAGACAAGGGTTGTACTCCTAGATTGGACTAGCTTTATTGAATGAACAAATATTCCTTGCCATATCCATTTTGTGTGGTAATGTGATCTGCCCAACTGAGTACTTCAGACTTTCCATACATCTGGTACATATATCGTTCTTTTGATCTCTTGTCAGTGTCTAATACTAGTGTTTATTTGACATTTTATTGTTGTTGTTGTTATTATTATTTTTAATCCTAGTTTCCTTTGTCAGTTTTTTGCTGAGAACATATACTCTGTGTTTCTTTATGTAGACTTCATATATTTTCCCTGCATTACTGAAGCAACAAAGACACTTCTACTTTTGAAACACCGATGTCAATGCCTTGGCAGTAATTGTATCACGTTTTAGTTTTTTGAAGGTGGCTGTCAAAAGATATTGTATGTATCTGAGACATAAAGGATCACAATCACCTCTCTGTTACATGTTGTGTCAATATATCATAAATAAAGGGTCATTATCCAGTGTAGTCCCCATTAATTGAGGCTGCTGGGTGGGGTGACTGAATATAGACCTGACCTTTGGCATTACCCATTCTGGTCCCCATTAATTGCCAATGTATCCCTGAATAATTTTAATTAAGTCTCTATCTGTAGGACATGCTTACAGTTTGAATCTTGTAGTTAAACTCATCTTTGCTTTTAGTTTACTTCAAGCTAATTTACTTTGTTTGGATCTAGGTTGATGTTCTTGAACCTGTATCACATTTCTTGGAAGCTGCACGAGAAAATTTGGCTCCTGAAAACCTAATGGTCTCAGACATGCACAAGGCTGCCAACTTTTATTGTGTCCCACTTCAGGTATCATACTTGTATTATTACATATATACCCATGACAAATTCATAGATGCAATCCTTAACTTTCTTAGTGAATAATCATGTTTGGGTTTTTTTTTTTTTTTTAAAAAGAAATAGATTTCATGAATATTCATCATTAAGAATAATAGTGTAAGTAGAATTATTTGTATGATGATGGATAGCATCCTTTGTTATTGTTTTTTAGAATTTTATTTAGAAGAATTCAAATCCTTAATGGATGAAGAAAAGTAGCCAACAAGTATGTTGTGATTACCAAAGTTGTTGTAGCACAGTGGTAAATATCCTTACGTGTCATCTAAAAGGGAATGAGGTTAAGGGTTCAAATATTATTATTTGCAAAAAGAAAAGAGAAGAAAAATAGTAGAAATAAAGGAATAGAGGAAAATATAATATATAATTAATAAACTGGATTCTTCTAATGCTATATCCAATAAACTGTTTTCTGTTGTCTGTGTGCTGGCTGCGATTCTCATAGGATTATCCTTGATTCAGACTCCTTAAAGAAATGTTTCCTGCCTATGGAAGCCAGTCAGCTTGGCTTGAATATCAGTTTCAATCATATCTTTGGTTAAGGGAAAGTAATGTGGTGGCATGTTGGCTTATATTTCTTTTCCCATGTTCAGTTTCCATATTTTTGAAGTTGAGTGCAGCCTTCCCTCACATGAGGCTCTTAAAATAGATACATCCATTCATTCATTGTAAATGATGTTGGCTTTTATTTTTATTTCAGACTTTTATAACCATTTTTGTTCCTCTCCTTTTTGTATCTCTTTCCACTTTAATAATCAACAGTAAGGTCAGACATAGGGGTGGAAATTGGGTGAGTTTGGGCGGGTTTTGAATGGGCTGGTTGTGAATGGGTTAGTAACCAGTGTAGTCCCCATTAATTGAGGCTGCTGGGTGGGGTGACTGAATATAGACCTGACCTTTGGCATTACCCAATCTGGTCCCCATTAATTGCCAATGTATCCCTGAATAATTTTAATTAAGTCTCTATCTGTAGGACATGCTTACAGTTTGAATCTTGTAGTTAAACTCATCTTTACTTTTAGTTTACTTCAAGCTAATTTGCTTTGTTTGGATCTAGGTTGATGTTTTTGAATGGGTAGGGGGCTCAAATGGACGGGTCATCAGCGGGTCAACCCGCTCCACCCCCCCCCCCCCCCCCCCCCTCCTTTTTTTTTTTTTTTTCCTTACAAACTGGATCTTTTGTCTGTGAAGAGATGACCAGATTAAAATTGATCATTCAACTTTCAAAATGGAGTGTCTTCAATTTTCTTCATTATTGTTCCAGATTTAAATTTAAATTTTTTAAAAGAAATCAAAACAAAATTCTGGAAAATCGAACTAGTCCAGCCCCATCAGCACATAGTATTGAATTCCATTGATTTGTGTATTTAGTTGTTTTTAGTAACTAGGCTTCTTATCGGGGTGGGCTAGTTTCTTTATGCTACTTATGGCAATAGGATTTAGGTTGTCCCTATGGTTTTAGAATTCTTTCATTATAAATACATGGTACTGCACATTAATAATATATATATATATATATATATATACTCTTAACCCGGCATTGACCGGTCAATTGTAATGGGTATCCACTTTTTACCCATTAATGACCCAATCACTTAAATTGGATACCCAAATGATTTTATTTTAATGGGCGGGTTTGGGCGGTTTAATGGGTTTGGGTATAAATTGCCACCCCTAGTCAGACAATGCAAACAGACCACCAGCTAAGGTGGGTTTTCCAGGTGTTTTTTTGCTTGAAACAAGTAATTCTTATTGAAGAATGTAAAGTGGACATCATTAGATTTTACTTTTCTTTTCTGTTCTTCTGTTGGTTGTTTTGTCAATGCATGTTAAACACCATCATGGACTCCAACACCATGGTCCATGTCATAGATCAAACACAAATGGGCACTTGTGCCTGTGTTCGTGTCCTTCGTATATTAATTTTGCAGCGGCGTTCAACTACCAGTGGTTTACTGCTGCATATAATCAAAATGATTTAGGATATGTTTGGGGTTCATTTTTATTTTTATTATTTTTATAAGCAAAAAGATATGATTATATAACTTAACTCTCCATAATAATTTTTAAAAGAAAAAAGTTATTCCGCATGTAATGGTGCACATTCACTGTAGTCTAAATGTCTGACTCTAGTATTAATTTGCTGTATGAGCTGAGAAGATAGCCTGACTTCAGCATTCCTTTTGGCCACCTCCAGCCTTACTCGAAGGCTCTTTGTTTAGAAAATAAATGAATTCTCTTGCTACTCTTGTAGGAATTCACTCCAAATGCAGGACGATATGATGTCATATGGGTCCAGTGGTGTATTGGGCATCTCGCAGATGATGACTTTGTCTCATTCTTTAATAGAGCGAAGGTAAATTTTGCTTCCTATCATATTGTTGATTAAGCGAATACTGTTATAGATTATTTCAGAGATTGTATCATTTCTATTGGAAGCCAAACATTTGAAATATTTAGTTCTAACTTTTGCTAGTGTCGGTGGGAAAATAAAAAATGATCTGAACAATGTTTTCCAGGTTTTTGAAAATATAACTTGTATATACTTGCAGTGGTCAATGCCCAATAATTTCTTTTGCCTTTCTTTTCCACACAGATGACACATTTGATCCTGAAAATTGTAAAGATGTTTTTCTGTCGTCATTTCTCTGCCACTTCTCAACTAATAAGATTGGAATGAAATACCCTCCTAAGCTGTACCAGCATGTTGAAAACCGTTTCTTCATGGGCCTCTATCTTATTTGTGCTAACTTATGTTTCAATTTCAGGGTGGCCTCAAACCTGGTGGATTTTTCATCCTGAAGGAGAACATTGCAAGAAGTGGTACTTATTTATCCACTCCTTACCTTTTTGTTTATGCATAAGTTGTTTTGTGCAATTTCACATAATTCCTTTTTCACTGCAGTACTTGTATTTGACTTACTCATTTGTATTGTCTCAATGGTTGAAATATATTATTCTGTTGAGCTACTTATACAACCAATGAATTCAAAGATGAAGGCACGAAAGCTGAAGTGCAGAACTTGGAATTGTGAAAATAATAAGTGGTAGAGGTTCAATGGACATATGTTGCTTTGTCATAACTCTAGCAAGATAGAGTTTATTATTACTATTATTTATTTTTTGGGACATCCTTGGTTGAATAGTTAAGGTTCAACAAAATGAATACTTAATGTGCTGTAAATTGCATGTATGTAGGATTTATCTTGGACAAAGAAGATCGAAGCATTACCAGGTCAGATTTATACTTCAAGGAGCTCTTCAATCGATGTGGATTGCATGTCTACAAGTCAAAGGTATACTTTTAACGGACATTTACTTGTGTTTGCAGCCCAATTGGGCCATCAGATCTGATATCTTGAGTGGATCTCTCTCTGTCTTTTTGTTATATGATAAGTACATAGTAGAAGTAAAGAGACACGAGGATGAGTAAAGCTGCTTCTGGAGATTATTCCCAGGAAAAATGACTTCCAGTGGTCACATTACTTTTGGGAGCACCCATTTTCCAACAAGCTGTACCAAATGTTGCCAAGTGTCCTTACTTTTAACCCAACTTGATTCAACTCAGTAAATTATCATCCTTTAGCCATATAAATCATGTGTTTGTCACTCTGTTCTGTCAAGAGTTATTACTCGAGTACTAGATTACATGCTATCACGACTCTCTTTACTATCTTAATTCACATTAATTTGGTTTGCTTCTCCCCTAACATTATACTCGATGTGGGTTATGTGTCTCTTCTCACTGATGCAATTAATGGCCTTTTTGACACACACTAAACAATCTTAGTAATTTTTCTTTCATTGCATCTCTAATTGGTGCTATTTTCACTCTCTAATGAAGTGTGTCAATTTCCTTCTTCTTCTTCTTCATTTTTTTTTTTCCTTTCTGTCTTGCAATATATTCATATTAACATTTGCATTTCAGTTATGTTCCAATATGAATAAGTTTTAGTCATCCAGGATTCATGCTGATGTAATTGCTGATATATAAAGTTCTCTTTCAGCTTTATAAAGATGGTCAGGAGTATGATAAAGGTTTTACACTGGCTGTCAGTTTACCTAATGTGACCATATCTATTTTAGAGCAAGACGGAGTTTAGCACTTCACCTACGACCTGAAACCATTCAACCACATTCCTCATCAGTACGAGTCAAGGAAATAGCCCCCTGATCTCTGATTTCCATATAAAGGACACAAGCAGCATAAATACCCCTCTTTAACTTATATTCTGATGGACTGTATATCTTTATTAAGGAATTGGAGGAAGATGTGACGAGCCTCCATACTGGTTACACTTCAAAGGAAGATCCCAAGGGGAGACCTATATAGGTAGGAAGAGAACATTCTCTGCACCCCAAATTAGCTGGTGGATTGTACAGCTGCTTAACCTCCCCAACCATAATGAGTTCACTCTGCTAAAATTCTCTCAAGCCCAGAAATTGCATCAAAACAGTGAATCATACATCTTGTATGCCTCAGTTACGTTGATCTGAACCCCATCCATCCAGCATATATACACAAGGACCCGACCGCCTTAATTCCAAGCTTGCGCTCAGCATTATCCACCCAGTTTCCTTTTTCATTCTCATCCTTCTTTAATTCTCTTGTTAGAAGAATATCCACTACCCAATTTTTTTTATTATTACTCATCTTTTGGGAAATTGGAAATAGAAGTGAATATATATATATATATATATATATATATAGTATATCTGCTGCATGATTATTCAAACTAATCTAACCTACCTTCTCAAACATAACCATCGAACGAAAGCCCTAGACACCTTTATTTGTATTATTATGGTATTTATATCTTTATCAGATTTTCTACTAACAGTTGTTTTAAACCAGGATCAGAAGGAATTCCCTGAGGGATTGTTTGCTGTGAAGATGTATGCATTAACAATTGATAAGCCCAAGAGAGTTAATGGATCCAGATCCAAGGTACGAACGAATAAACCTGGTATCATCAAGTAGAAACTTCTACTTGGACTTCAGATGGTTAAACACACAGCTGGATGTTTTCAATCAGATAAAGTTATGTTGCTTCACGGACATGACAGCTAAAACTGCATTCTGCCTCAATTTTTACGGCTTATTTATTTATTTATTTTTCCGTCATGTTGTACTTTACATTTTTCGGGTTGTACACTGAAATTTTGTAGCTTAGTCTGATTCTACATAGTGTTTCTCATTAAATTGTAAATGACGATGCAACAATAAGTTGTTAAAATAGACATTGTTCGGTTATGTTTACATGCAATTGAATTCGCACAAACTGTACGGTTAATAAAAGAAAATGTTTGATATGCATATCATGTGTGTATGTGTTTGTACATTCAGGAACTTTTCCAAGGCATGAAAAGCTGACATTTCAAGCGGCGTGGGGCTCTTTCAGGAATCGCCGATATTGGGGTGAATCTATTTCGTTTTATAGTTTTATTTAGTTATCAAGTGAAAAAAAGTAGGCAGTATGCATCAACACGCCCTGATTTCTGTTCAGACATGACATAACACTTGCATGTTCTCCCTTTTTAATAATTCATTGCTTACCATTTTTATTACATTCGAGTATACATAAGCTTCCATGCATTGACAGGTTCACTGCCTTCATCTGGATCGAATGCGTCTATGTTCTCCTTTATCACCATTCGATTTCTTGTGACTTTTAGTTGCTGAAACCAAACCGGCATTGTAAATTCTAGTTATCATCTTTGAGATATGACCCAAGCTCGGCTGTCGACCACTTGATATGTCTGTGCACATTAACCCTAACCCTATCACCTCTGTAGCTTGATCAATTGTATGCCCTGTCTTTTTCATCCTCTCATCGATCAGATTCAGCACGCTCCCTGCATGTTGCATTCTCACCCATTCAACAAAACCAGCTTCACCCCTCTCGAACTCATCTCGTGGCCTCCTATTCACTACCATCTCCATGCTAAACACACCAAACTTGTAAATCTCTGAAATGACAACCATATCATGTGTGATGTTTGTGTGTGTTTAGACAAAAATGAACAAATACAGCAGGGACATATAACAAGATGAATAAATGTTGGCTTACTTTTTATGCTGCTGTCTTGATCTTCTAGTCTGAATCTTGAAATCAATGGTTGTCGATCTTCGGACAATAGTATGCTGTTTGTCTTGAGGTCAAAACCAAGTTCAGGCCATTCCTCATGCAGATAACACATAGCTTCCACAATTCCCATCAGCACTTTCACTCTCTGTTTCCATGGTGGTGCAGACCTCTGTAACCACATTTCAAGATTCTCTGCATCGATCCATTCTGTAACAATGGCTCTTAACCTTCGATGATCGCACCAACCCAGTACCCGAACCAAGTTCCTATGACTTAATTGAACAAGAATCCTACATTCTTCGACAAATTTCCTGCGGTTCTCTCTTGATATGCTGTCCCAATAAGTCTCAATTCTCACTTCAGTTCCATCCCTCACTTCCCCCTTATAAATACTAGTGGCTTCACTCTTTCCCACCAAATTCTTCTTCGAAAAATTGTGTGTTGCCGCCTTTAGCATCGCAGGCGTGAACTTGTGCTTTCTTCGAAGCATTCTTGGTAGAAAATCTGGCCGCCACAAGCAGAGCCAACCCAAGAAAACCACCATCACAATGACAAAAATTGGGAAACCAAACAAGAAGAATATGGCCTTAATCCTGAACTTCCCATGATCCGGGAGGAGACCGGAATGAAGAAAACTCGAAGAATTGAACCGTTTGAAGAATTGGGTATCGGAGATTTTACTCTCGGAGAAGTGATTATATGAAAGGTTAAGAGAGGTGAGGTTGGTGAGGAGAGAAAAATTCTGCACAGGGACGTCCCCAGAAAGGTCGTTGTGGCTCAAATCAAGAGCTTGGATTTGAGAACAATGAAAAATGTCAGATGGGAAGTTACCCTTTAGAGAATTGTTGGACAGATCGATAGATAAAATGTCTATGGGACAGTACTTCCAAAAGAAGGTGAATGATAGGTAAAGAGGTGCGATCTTTGGACGGCTTCGAAGGTCTATTTTTAGAAATGATTCGATGCAGTTCGGGTTCTTCGATTCGTTACAGAGATGGCTTGCAACAATGGTGGATTTAAAGATTTCTGGGAGGTCAAAGGGTGTGGTAGTGCAGTATTTTAGAGATGGTTTGTTGTGGCAGTTGTTTGTGAGTGTGGTGTTGAAGTCTGGAGGTGGCTTCAAGCTGTTGAGGTCTTCTACAAGTGTGGCGGAGAGGATTAAAGAAAATGGCATTGAAAGTGTGAAAAAGAAGAGAAGAAAAGTTGCAGAAATGGACGCCATAGAGAAGAGTGTGTGTGTGTCTGTGTGAGAGAGAGTGTTTAAATTCTAAGTATCAAACGGTTGGCGTGATAGCAGTTTGTGAAGTTGGGTAACCCATGTTTGCACATTCTGAATTCGTTCATTTTGGCGGTTAAGGACTTTCGTACATGTGATCCTGTTTTCTAGTGAAATCTCCATATACACGCTCTCGCCTCTCTCTAGAGAGAGCATATATATATATATATATATATATATAGACAAAGAGAGAGGGTACGTAGAGGGGTGAATAACAAATTCAATCCAAGCCCCAAGCCCCCCAACATACACAATAAAGTATTATATTATTGCCATCGGCTGAAATCTTGGATCCTTGATGTTAATAGGGTGAGAGTTATATAAAAATTTGACGGATCAGTCACCTTTTAAAAAATAAATCACTATTTGAAAATTTCCATTATCCATTAACTCATGTAATTTGGTAAACTAATGTGATTTTTTTTTTTTTTTTTGAGATACGTTGGCATTTTTAACTTCTTCATAGAACAACCCCATTTTTTTTTTTTTTTGGTTTCGTAGCAAAAACTTAACCGAATTAATTCAAAATATTCAAACCACATTTTCAATTAACTAATTTTTTACATGTGTGTTCTAAATTTATCCAAATTTGGCCAAAGTTTCCCAATTTAGGAATTCTAATATGAATATAAACTCCCCCAACACCGTCAATAGCCAGATTAAAATTTTATAAAATAAAAGGGAGGAAAAATTTAGTGAATGAGCATGAAAATCTATTATACTAGTTGAAAATGAAAATATTGAATTCATCAGAATCATTCCAGCTACAATTATTTTTAATTTTCCTCAAAAGCATAATTATTTTTAAATTCAGTTTTTCAATCATATGCGAGTTTATCATCCTAGATTCTCAGAAATAATTCCATAAAAAGACTTGATCACAAGACACAAAATTTAGTTTATTCTATTGTAATAATTTAGAATATTATTTTGTCAATAGTTAACAAGAAAAACTAGCTCTTATCTGCAAGAACTACCGCTACATCGCTTCGACTCAAAATCTATAATAGAAATTACTATAAAGCATTCCTCATTCTGCACACTGTTATGATTCATGAAACCCTCCTACATTCCATCCAAAATGCTTGGTATAAAATTTACACCTCCTTTGGTTCAGTCTAGAGTATGCACCTGATATACCTCTGCACTGTAGATTATATCCCTCAAACCATCTGATCCCAAGTTTTTCAGAACCTATAGCCATAAGCCAAACATCATAGTTACTTATCAAACTAACAAAATGAAATAAAATAAATCGAGTTGCATTTTTAGTAACATTTCTTGCAAGGACAGAGAAAAAACAATTTTCTTTTTCTTGGTAGCTAAGAAGAATAAACAATGTTGCCTTCCGTGACAGGCCTTAAAGTAACTTTTTTTTCTTGGTCATATCTATAAGCAAAACTAGAATTAGAAACTCCCCCTGTAGAATGCGCAAAAGCTTGCATTGTTATGAGAAATTCGAGAGCATACAGTTCACCACAATTTTGGTCTGTCAACCTGCAGGTTGATTTTAATAGTCTGCGGATGGCAACTAGAAACTGTTCCTCAATTGTTATATCTTGCCATGGACTCATGCATGTGGAAAGAGTAGGAATGATCAAAATGACCCTCTTCCTCAGTTCTCTTGCGATGAAAGGAATTTAACGAACAGTCTAAACTGAATGAACTTGTTAGTTCTCTTGCGATGAAAGGACTTCAACAAACGGATTATAACTTGACCTTAATGATAAGGCATTTTTGCAATCTTGTGGACTGAAAAGTGACTTCCTTACCAATAGGCCTTACCAATAGGCCTGTGGCCTAGCGGTACCAGGCCCCTACTTCTCAAAGGGAGGTCAAGGGGTTCGAACCTCAGTGGAGGCATGTGTGTGTGAGTACCAATTGAGGAAAAAAAAAAAAAAAGTGACTTCCTTCTCTAAATGAAATTGAGCATAGACCAAAAAGGCATTGCTGCATTGTTGTTTGAGATCTTGTTTTGCAATAATTTAAGTTCTAACTTCTTTTTTTTTATTAAAGTTTCTTCTTGTATTTCCTAAAATTTCATCAAGAAAGATCATTTTTGTTAGAAAACAGTTTTTTTTTTTTCCCTGATAAACATTGTCTTCATTATACATGTACTATGGCAGTTTAATATACAACCAGTGTTGTTAAAGGCTCGCCTAGGCGTGAGGCTCGAGGCTTAGGTTTAACGCCTGTTGTCATCCCAGGTTCACTGATGTTTACTAGGCGCACACCTCAGTTGCGTCTCGTCCTGTTTGTGAGGTGCGCCTAGGCGCGCCTTACTAATATTTGTTTAAAAAAATACGACTGTTCTATTTCTTAAGCCAAAAAGGGTACTTTTGGCAACTTAATAACAAAAAAGAAAGCTCAATCATACGATATAAGGAACTTTTGTTCAAAAGAATAAAAAAATAAGAAAGCCCAAAAGTCAAAGTATTAACCGAACAACGATAGAATAAGATTGTGAGACGAAGATGAAGCCCTAGTTGTAGAGATGAACGACGAAGCCACGTCAGTTCTTTCTTTTCTTTTTCTTTTTTTCTTTTTTTCTCTCTTTTCCTCTAGATCTCTCATCTCTTCTTATCTTTGTTTACATCTTTCTCTTCGTCTAGTTCTCTCATATTTTTTTATTTTTATTTTTATTTTTTATTAACCTATTTATTTCTTTTTGTTCTTTGCTTTGCCATTCAAAAAACACATTTTGCTTTGCCTTTTAAGAAAACAAATTTGTGCTCTGTTTTATGGTTGTTGGATGCTTGTATAGTTGATAGATTTTTTTATTTATTTTATATTTGATATCAATTTTTAGAATATTGATATGACTTATGAGATGTGAATGTTATTATGGTAGTTTAAATTTTCAATTGTGCGCCTTACTTCACTTAGGCACGTGCCTCGCCGTGCGCCTCGCGCCTAAGCTCCAAAGGACCTCTAGCGCCTTGGTTCGGCTTGGGCCTTTAATAACAATGTAAACAACATAAAATTGCCAACCAAAAACGAGGAAAAAGACCTTACCATAAAAAAGGAAATTAGTTTTTGAGTTAAAGATAAAAAGTAGAATTAAGTGTTGTACCTCATTTGCATCTTTAAAACAGCTGAACTCGTCTTTCTTTGGCCAGCTTACTTGCCAACATCTGAGCCATCGAAATAAAAGAAATAATAAGACAATTCCAAGCAATTCAGTCATTAACCCCTTTTGTAGAGTAAATATAGTAACTCTTGGTCAGAGAACTTCAAATTTCAAGAGCCCTTTAAGAAGATACAAGGTGTTATTAAAGTGGTGTAAAACACGTTACTAGATCAGCAGACCAGGATATTTTCAACAAAAAGGTCGTCAATGCTATATTGTTTTATTGATTTTTAACCATCTCAAAAGATCATTAACTGTTTCATCCCTTTCAAGATTTTCTACCATTTGAAGCTATTGCAAAAGTAGACACCTCAAGTATTCAGATCACAAAAAATGTTCAACATTGCAATTATGTTTTTTGTAGGAGCCACTAGGTTTGAGCACAATCATCCATTGTAACCATGTGTGCAAGGGATGGCGCACAAAGTTTACCGAGGCTTGAGCACTCATACTGAAATTTCTCAAATAAATAAATATAATGTTTGATTATCAAACCTTTCTCTTCCAAGACGGCGCGCAAGCTCTTCAGCCAAGACTTGGCCAGGTATGTCACCATCAGTTGCCAGGATTATACGGGATGCCTAAAAGGAATATAAGGCCAAAATATGAAGGCTTATCTCTGCTGGTCAATTTGAAATGCAAGCAACAAGGTCACTAACCTTATCCAAGTACTCTCTGCAGTTCCATAGATACTGAAATCTGGTGTCCTAGCTTCATACACATGCATATATGAAAAAATAGACCCCAAATAAGATGAACGAATGAAAGCAAGCAATTAGAAATGAAATAAATAGTAAAAACTTGAATGGAACATTAGGTAGGAGTGTAGGACATAAAACTATGATGTGAGTTTTCGACTGTAAGCCAAAGAAACAGAGTGCCAGAACAAGGAATAACTAGAATGTGATTCTGCAAGATATATTTTCAACAAAAATCAAGGGCAACTGGCTGCTGAAACACTATCACATGCACTGCTTTTCGTTTTTTCTTGTGGCTATCAATAAATTTTGCTTAGAGATCACTAGAAACTGATATTTTGGAAAAGCGGATGGCTTTGGAAAAAATTGCACATCCAATGCTTGAAGTTATGTCTAGAATGTTAATTTTTTAAACAAAATTACTCATATATCATTGAAAAAGTTAAGATACTTTTCAATGTGGTAAGGTTGTGATTGCTAATTGCATTAATTACAAAGATAGTAACTTCAGGGATACAAGATAGTATGGCATAACTGTCAGCCAAGAAAATATTTACTTTCAAACTACAGATATGTCATATATGTGCCAGATATGGGTAAAAGAATTCTTAAAAATGTACAGGTAAAAAAAAATCCAAAATAATCCTCTAAAAAATGATTACATCAACCAAACCTTCTCTATAGGTGGTACATCTTTGGTTGAAACCTTCTGTGGTGCACCATCAGGAACACTAACACAATTACAAAATCCAGCTTCTTCCATTGAGAGCTTATCTATCTCACCCTCAACCTATACACAGTGTCAAAATAGTGATTATAATAGTCAGCATAGAGAAAGAGATGCACAGAATTAGCGAACAATTACTAACTACCCAAAGAAGTCACAGTATTTACAATGATGATTTCATCTGCTTTCTCTATGTCATCAAGTCCATATAATATCTTTTCTGTACCCTTCTCCTGAACATTAATAGCAGAAATTCAAACAAAATTCATGTCAGAACACATCCACATATAATTTCACATTGAAAATTAGGCATGATACCGAATCAAATGGTATCAGGACGTATTTTCAGAGAAAACCAAGGTCTTCATTCTGTAGAACATAAAATTTCTACAAGAAACATACCATAAAATTTGGAATAAAAAGCCTGCCCACAAGAATACACCAATTTATTTCAAGGATGCCTTTTCTGGCAGGGTCTAAATTATAATAGGGTTTATCTTAATAAACTGTTATCTAAATAGGCCAATAGATAGACCCAGTACAATCTCTTACAGTTATCACATGCAACAACAGACAAGGGCCATTTCTGTCATTTCACAAAAAATAACGTGTCATCATTAAATGCCTGTACTTGTTCAGTAAATTAAACGCCATGCTTCTCCATACTATGTTTTGGTGCTGTGATGGCAAATAACACTGAATTAGAGTACTCAAAGGTAAATGAACCTTTTCCAGAAGGCAGAGGGTATCAAGTTCAAAGGTTATTGCAATCCAAATTATTAGAACTTTAAGAAAACAAAATCTTTTAGGTGTGACCGTGCGACCACAAACAAGATGGACACTGTAGGATCATCAACTTTTTTTTCCTTTTTGTTGAATAACTTGTATTAAATTGAAAAGGAGAGAACAAGCTGACAGCATAAACAAGATATACATGTATTAAGACAATAAAATAAAGAAAATATCCTGTGCTCTATCCTGAGGAAGCATTTAATTTTTTTAAAAAAAAGTAAAAAAAAAAAGAGAATTGCTTATCACAATTTCCTTGAGACTTGAAATACATGACCCTTACATCAAAAGTCATGCTATTTATGTCCTACCGCAGACAAGAAGTAATAGCATGAGGTGGCACTTTCCCAACAATCTCATTAAACCCCTCCCATACTCAGGCAACGATCTTTTGAAATTACATCACTTGGAAACTCCATATATTCTGCAAGTTAAAACTTCAGAGTAAAGCTTAGAAAACTACCTGCCAAAATCTTTTTTCGATGCTTCGGTACTTGCAGCTGACAAGCAGTCCATTTCGTCTGTATGTGAAAGCAATGACCTTCTGCACAATCATGCACAGTCCCAGAAAAAGAATAGATTTTAGACGATACTTTGATAATAGCTCATTGATCTTTAGAAACTGATTCATTAACCTACTCCTACATAATGACTTCCACAAAAAAATCGATGCACTAGAGGATATATGGGGAGGAGTGTTGAGGAGCAGCAAGATGTGGAATAAAATAATAAATGACTGTCAGATCTGTAGATTAAGCTAAGGTTCCACAACAACCAGCTTGTCTATGTCTGTTATGGTGCAGCCACATGCAAAACAAATAAATAATTGAATCAGTATTAGTTATCAAGAGGCTATTGTGTTAGACAATCCATATTGTCGGGAAGCAGGAACTAGAACCCTGCTGTGCATTCATACATAAACGTAAAAAAAGAAAAAGAACAAAAATAATAATAATAATAAAGAAATAAATAAACACAACAATTTTTGTTGATTAGAAGTAGCTCATTTGTATTTTAATCACTTATAACCAAAAACTGCTAAGAACATAACACCCAAAGGGTTCCCGTAGATAGAAACTGTTACTAACAAAACTTATGCATCAATAAGCAAAGCCTTTTTTTTTTTTTTTTTTCCCCACAACCTTGTGTTGAAAAATTAACAATCAGCTCATCATGACCTTTCTTACTCCACATGAATTAATTTCCATTGATAATACACTATTTAAACCTTTTTTTTTTTTTTTTTTCCTGAATCACTATTTACAACCTCAGAACCACACATTAAAGTAAATTAGTGTGTATTATAAAATATCTGACCTGATCGCCCGATATTTGCCTAACTGCATTTTTCTGCAGAATTTCCTCTGATATCATTCGCTGGGCAAAGTATTCAATTAGCTGAAACAAATTCAAAAGAAAAGAAAAAAAAAAATAGAACCATTAATATGAAAAAATACACTGAAATTCATGCATATTAAAAAATTCCCGATTATTGGGGGTTCAGCTACATTAATCTTATTTTGCCATTCTGCTCATGCAAATATCAAGATGTCCAAATAAATTAATGGAACAGCTGATGGTTTTCAAATACAATACATGCAGTTTGTTCTCATAATTTACCAAAAAAAAAAAAAAAAAAAAATTACAAAAGAAAAGAATAGAGACAAAAAGAATTGATTGGAACTTTCTTAAACACACAAGGAATATATTTTTCCAATATAACTAAGGGTTTAGTATACTACATTGAACATGTTGGTCTGAGCTCATATTAAGTTCAAGCAGCCTAAACACTTGTATGACAGAGCCAAGCACGAACAGTCCAATACTCCACTCACTAGACTCAATTCTAAGTTTTTACTGCACGAAACTCGGTGGCTTATTTTTCAAAAAAAATGAAAAAACTTGGTAACCATTGGAGGATTTAAATATTAAAGTTAACCCTCTCTAACAGCTTAAGCGTTTAGAGTAGATGGTAGTTGCCATGGATCAGAGTAGGCAGGTCACGTGTTCAAACCTCAGTGTCACCCTAATAATTAAATTGAAACATGTGTTGGACCAAAAGAATGCCACATGTGAGGGGGGGTATGTTGGAGGATTTAAATATTAAAGTTACACTCTCTCTAACAACTTAAGCTTTTAGAGTAGATAGTTGTTAATAGTAACGATGGAGTTCAATATATGTGGCTGAAAGGGAAGTTAAACTTAAATTAACAGGTAGTCAAACATGGTGATCTATAGTGCATTTGGATTGAAGGAGTTAGAAGGAAAAGGGAAAGAAGAGGAGGGAGTGAGGGAGAGTTTATATCTATTTGGTTAAAAGATGGGGAGAGAAAGGAAAGGAATAGGAGGGAGAAGGAGGGGGTTATTTACCCCTGAAATAGAATTATTGCTACCTTCCAAAAGTGGGAGTATTTCCCCAACTTCTATAACATTTTCTTTCACAAAGCCCTCTCATTATTAGGATTTTACATATTCTCTTTTACTTCCTCTTTCCCATATTAGTAGTCCATCTTTCCCTTCTAGGATATCCCAAATTGGTTGTCCTCTTAGAAAAGTTAAAGCAAACAAATGTTATCTTTTCCATCATTGCCCTTTAAGTTTTTTTTTAAAAAAAATTCAACTTGGCAATATACATATTTAAACTAAAAAGGACAAGTTGGTAATTTTAAAAGGGGACAATGCATTAATTGCATGTCTCCTTAAAAACTTCTAATACTAAACATGGACATCTGAGATGGGACGGAGGGAGTATATTCAAACTATTCAACCAATATGATATTTTGTTCACTTTACAACATATAGCAGTTGCCTTTCATAACAAACCCACAACAATCTTTTACGACAATTCGATATCCTCATAATGTTCAAAACATGTATGCATGAGTTTCACACTTTTAGGATATTGATCTCCTTTATCATAAAGTTCTCTTCCCTCTTTCACTTAGTCTTACCAACATCCTACTAACCACCACAAATTCACCAGTAGTAGTTGCAATTACAACATCTTCAACAAACCATCAAGAGCACACTCCACAAGCAGGAAAAGAGGTCATGCAAACAATTCAAATACAATATCATTCTAACAGAAGGAAAATTTAACTAAATCGTAACATAAATAAAGTGAAAATTCTGCATGAAAAAATAAATTGAATACCTCGTCACCTAGTGGTTCTAACCTCAGGCTCTCTTCTGTGATTTGCCTGGAAGAATTAATATCACTTTTTTGGTTGACGCCATTACATGTTTCCCTGTTGTCCGCAAAGACCTGCAACTGGATTTATAAACTCCCAAACAGAATAGCCCTCCAATTTTAAGAACTTTGAAAACAGAAGTAAAATTGAAATTGTACATTCCACTACCTGGCCTGCCCATCCACACTCAACACGAAAACACCTCCACATGGCAAAATCCCTGAACAACAAATAATAAGTTACAGAAATCATTTAAAAGTAGAGCGCATGCAGGCATAAAAGTAGGAAAAATAACTTGCCTGTTTTGGGCGATATGAAAGGATAGACTCCTCTCCATCAACTGCCCACCTTTGCACTGTGTTAACCAAACAAAGACTTAAATACAAGGGAAAAAATCAGCATTGACATTACTTTGAATTTGAAGAAGCATATATGCTATTCGTGTACACTATTTTGCATGAGTCCTTTCTTTTAAATATATGTCTAACAAATCCTGTATAAATTACCTGAAAAGAAAGTTATTGTATGAAGTTATGAAGTGTAGCCTATCTAGAAGGAAATGGAACCTTACAAAATACATGTGAGCCTGACATTCCATGGGCAGCACAACGCGATGTACATGTCATATATGTTAGTATGCTAAACTTTTAGGGCGACGACATGTGCCTCACAGACCAAAGAACACAGTTTCTATTGAAAATATTATATTATAATTTTTTTTACATTCTTTCTTAACAGATCAAGTTGCATATTACATGAATCATGTTTAACCGTTGTACTCTATACTAAGTCAAAACTTTAGTTCAAACACACTATAATATTATTCTTTACTATCTAACCCTAAGTTAAATTTAATCTACCCATTACCCAAGTGGACCATCTCATTATTGGTCTTTATAATTCATATACTAATTAACTTAGTTGGTTTTTCTAATTTTATCTCCAATAAGCGCTACTCCACTATCTATACTTATCAAAAAAAAAAAAAAAAGCGGTACTCCACTATCTATCAAACATATTAATTTATAACCATTTTTTTTTTCTTTATTTTTACCACAGATCCACTTCAACATTCGCATTTCAACCACACTCGTTTTATGTTGCTTTTTAATCAGCCAACATTCTATTCATAAAGCATGGTCAGTCTAATAGTTGTTTATGAAATTTACTTTTCCATTCTAAGGTATCTGTCCATCACACAATATGTCAGAAGCAGTCCATTTAACCAAATCCTACTTTAATCATATGAATGACATTATCTTCAATCTCCCTTTCCCCGTAAATAATTTAAATACGTAATTTTAGTTCTACTTAGCTTAAAATTGTCTTGACCTTTGAACTTCTATCCAAATATCTAATTTGATATTTATCCCTACTTTAGGTTCATGCATACAAATGACACTAACCCCAGAATTTTCTTTTATATTTATTTTACTTTTCTTTAGTTCTGAAAATACAACACATTTTTAAGAAGTGCATTCAAATGGACCCTATAATCCAAGTCCGCCAAAATCACTCAGTTAACCAGCTATATGAACAACTGAACCAGGATATCTTACAAATAATCGAAAACCAAAGCAATTCATAGTTGATTTCAGACATTGATACTAAAATGTGGTCTGCTATTCCCTCTCTAAAGCAAGGAAAATACTTTCAAAATACTACTACTTCACATTGACAATAAAAATAATACTAATAGTTATGGAGTGGATAAGCAACTTACCTTGGGACAAATAAAGTTATTGTACTGTCCAGGTGTACAAGAATCGTAGTTAATCCCAAGACGCTCAATGTTTTGCTTCAAAACCCTCATTTTAGCCAAAGTACTCGTCTCCTCCTCTTCATGATTTTCCACTTTAACTATGATTAATAATTCCAAAAAAAAAAAAAAAAAAAAAAAAAAAAAAAAGGGAACAAAATAAATAAGAAAAACCCAGAAAGAAATTCAAAAAAAAATTGTAAAACAGTAATGTTTCGCAGAGAGAGTGACCTGACGACTGAGAGACCCTGGCATGAAAGATAGAGCGAGACCCAGAACTGTAGAGTGAAAATGGGTGGAATTTGGAGATGGGTTTTGGAGGTGAAGCCGAGAAGAGTAGGGAATAGATCTGAAATTGGTGCAGTCTTACCGTGTTTGATACGAATGCAGCTGTTGTTGTTCTAGTTGTTGCTGCGACAGAATTACAGTTACACAGTGGTGATGCTGAAGAGCGAAGCTTGTGAATTGGGCGAAGCAAACAATGAGGAAGAGACATGTCTTTAGATTTTCGAGTTTTCAACAAACAGTAATCAAAATGGAGTGGTGTGACATAGAAAGAGCACAGGCTTATCCATGGAGGTCTCTCTGTCTCTCCCACCTCGAAGTAATAGCGAGAAGGAGATATTTCCCCAATGGGCCCTATGCTCGACCCAGCCCATATGATCAATCTTAGGTCTCGGTGTTTGCACTTTTGAATATTTTGGATCCAGCATTCTTTCTTCTCTTTTACGTCTCCTCAAAGCAATCACTTTAGCATCTCTATCTCTCTTGTAGGAATTTTTAAGGCATTTAAATTATGTTTCAATATATTTACTTTAAATTTTAACAATAAAGTTAATGTATTAAAATACAAAAACAATATATTAAAATCTCGTGTTTCAACAAATTATTTCGTGTGATGACTCCTTGCAACAGAGGACCAGACTTGAGACTTGAAAGTAGTCCACCAGTATTGAGTGATTTGAACAATATTTTTGTACAAATAGGTATCTTCGACCATCTCATTTTAGATAGCAAACAATAATGGTTTCCCCCAAAAGCAAAATAACAAGAATGGGTTAGTCACACTTGATAGGAACTCAATGACATTTCTTCAAATTCTAAACCATTGTTTTCATTGCAATGCAGCTGCTGAATCCATCTCACACATGCTTTTCCAATTCCCACTCTCCTTTCATTTGGAACACTTCCAAGTTGTTTATGGTTTGAGTTATGACATGCTAGCAGTATCTTTCATTTGGTTTCAGAGGAATGCGAGATCCTTTTGGAACCAAGCTGCAACTCCTAAAACAGTACTGATGACATTTATATATCAAATAAGAATAAAGATATATATCCTCCCGCGGATGTGGTGAGACCCAGACCCTCACTCACACAAACTCCATTCAACATTTGAGGCCCACACCCTCACTCACACAAACTCCATTCAGCATTCTCTGAATTCGGAAGATGTATCCTGCTATACATGCCTCGTCAAATTGCAGCTGAGTGGCTGGGTTTGTGGAGTTCAGTCAACGCAGAGAAATGGTAGCAGTACATTACATAATGCTGAGTTCGGACGTTACTAGCAAATATTTGAAATGCTTAGTTTGGCTGTTTCTGTTTGTTCTTTCTCCTTGTGAGTGAGCTGAGCAGCATTTAAAATAATAATAATAATAATAATAATTTTTTGTTACATGAGATCAGAAAGAACAATACAAAATATTAAGCATTTTAACCTACTCAATGAATTAAGTCCATATCATATGTTATACTAAATGTGTTAAGGTCTCAATCAATTGACACATTTCAAACCTGTGAAGCCGGCCAAATTATAAAATAAAATCGAACAGAAAATAACCAGAATCATATAATTAATAATTTGAAATGGACCGTTTGTCGGGCCGACAAACAATACAATAAAATCGAATACAAAATAATAAGAATCATATTGTTAATAAAAGCCCGACAAACAATACAATAAAATCGAATACAAAATAATAAGAATCATATTGTTAATAAAAGGTCACATTTGTATGATCCTTCCTAAAAGGTCTATATATGTGGAAAGACTCACATCTCACCCTGATCACACAAAACAAACTCATGATGATGGCATTGCTTCTGATCTTTCTTCTTACTCTCAGTCTGCTCTGCTTTCTGCATCAAAAACATAGAAACAAACATGGAGCAAATCTTCTTCCCCCGGGTCCTCCGGGACTTCCATTCATCGGTAACATACACCAGCTTAATAACTCAGCTCCACATCAGTACCTATGGCAACTCTCCAAAAAATATGGTCCCCTCGTGACCCTTCAACTTGGTTTTGTTCCATCCCTTGTGGTTTCTTCAGCAAAGATGGCTAAAGAGGTCCTGAAAACCCATGATCTTGAATTTGCTAGTAGGCCATCTTTACTTGGCCTGAGAAAGCTATCTTACAATTGCTTAGATGTGGTCTGTGCACCTTTCAGTGAGTACTGGAGAGAAATGAGAAAGATTTGTGTTCTTCATCTCCTCAACTCCAAGAGGGTTGATTCCTTTTGTTACATTAGGGAGGATGAGGTTTCGCGAATGATTAAAAAGATCTCCAAGTTCGCTTCTGCTTCTAAACTCACCAACTTAAGCGAGATACTACTTTCTCTCACTAGTGCCATGATTTGTAGAATTGCTTTTGGTAAGAGGTATGATGATGAAGATTGTCAAAGGAGTAAGTTTCATGGCCTCCTTCATGAAGCGCAGGCCGTGCTAGCAAGCTTCTTCGTCTCAGACTATTTCCCCTGTCTTGGTTGGATAGATAAACTCAATGGAATGTCCGCTAGGGTCGATAAAATTTTCAAGGAAATGGATTTGTTCTACCAAGAAATTATAGACGAGCATGTCCATGAAGAGAGGAAGAAGTCTGAGCAAGAGGATATTCTTGATGTCTTACTTCAGCTGCAGAAGGATCACTCATTTACAATTGATCTCACTTTTGATCATATTAAAGCAGTACTCATGGTCATCTTTTTTCTTTTCTTGATTTACACACTCCCATAACCTAATTAAAGTTTTATCAAAATAGTGGTTACAACTGAAAACCCCAAAAATTCTTAGTTTTAGAAAAAAGTCTTGTATTTGCTACTTTTTAGAGTTTCTAAAAACTATTTCTGATAACTGAACCCTTAACTTTTTACTTTGGAATGTGACAAACTACCACTAAGTTCCAGCCTTTGGTGGTACTGAATCAAACTGTGATTCTGAAGTATTTCTAAAACTGTTTTATGATAACCAAATCAAACTGTGATTCTGCCATATTTCTAATACTGTTTTATGATAACTGAATCAAACTGACATATTTCTCATACTATTTTGTTTTTTTGCTTTCAGAATATATTTATGGCTGGAACAGACACAAGTGCTGCCGCCTTGGTTTGGGCGATGACGGAGCTAATGAAACATCCTAGAGCTATGAAGAGAGCGCAAGAAGAAATTAGAAATGCAAGTGGTGAGAAAGGTATGGTTAAAGAAGATGATCTTCATAAACTTCCTTATCTCAAGGCAGTGGTGAAGGAGACACTGAGATTGCACCCACCAGCTCCATTGCTGCTTCCACACGAAACAACGAAAAAATGCAACATAAATGGGTATGAGATTCGACCCAAAACTTTAGTCTACGTGAATGCATGGGCCATTGGAAGAGATCCTGAATCTTGGGAAAACCCAGACGAATTCTTGCCTGAGAGATTCGTGGGTAGCTCCGTTGACTACAAGGGGCAAGATTTCGAATTGATTCCATTTGGGGCAGGTCGAAGAGGTTGCCCCGGGATGTATCTCGGAGTTGTGACTGTGGAGCTTGCACTTGCTAATCTGCTCTACTCTTTTGAGTGGGAACTACCTACTGGTATGAAGAAGGAAGACATTGACACAGATGTTTTACCTGGTATTACCATGCATAAGAAAAATGCACTTAGCCTTTTGGCTAAGAAAATTGATGGGCATATATATGAATGAATGATGCATAGTAATCAGGAACTATAATTAATAGTCTATGTACGGCATATAAAAACACTCTTTTACTCTTTTTCCCACTATCTTTTCCAAACACAGTGAAGGTGTGTACTACTATGACTTCTCTAGTTAAATTTTGAATTCCTTGTGCTTGCATATTTCCAAGGAACTTAATGCAGTGATGGAAGCACATAAAACAACTCTCAGATTTAGTAAAGAAGAGCAATGTGCAATCATGTTTAATGATCCTGAAAGTTGATACACACCCCCCTCCAAGGAATTGTTTGCACCTAGCAAGAGATCCTGAAAGTTAATATCATGAAAACAATAATATTTATTTTTTTAAAAAAATGTAGAGAAAAATAAATACTGCTCCAACTTTTTTATCAGTTAATAAATTACATCCAATTTGTATAACACTAGTATTTCAAGACTGTTAAATTCTTTCAATCACTTAATTTTGAATAGGCAAACAGGAAGGGGAAAAAAAAGGTATTCAAGTTCAAAGTTCAATGACCTGAACCCAGGTTCGTAGGCATCCCCCAACAGACTGCCAAATAAAAAGATTAATGCCATTATCTCCAAGTTCCTAATGAACATTTTCTTTTACAAAGCCCTCCCATTATTAGGATTTACATATTCTCTTTTATATTCAAACTATCCATCCACGATGATATTTTGTGTACTTTACAATATATATCAGTCACCTTTCAAGACAAACCCACAACAATCTGTTCCAAAAATTCAATATCCCCAGTGTTCAAAACATATATGCATGAGTTTCACACTTTTTAGTATATTGATTTCCCTTTGATATCATAAAATTCTCTTCCCACTTGCAGGTACAACCATGAATTCACCAGTAGTAATTGCAATTTCAGCGTTTTCAACAAACCACCAAGAGCACACCCCACAAGCAGGAAAAGAGGTCATGCAAACAACTCTACTATAATATCATTATAAAAGAAGGAAAATTTAACTAAATTGTAACACAGATAAAGTGATATTTCTGCATGAAAAAATAAATTTAATACCTCGTCAACTAGTGGTTCTTACCTCAGGCTCTCCTCTATGATTTGCCTGGAGGAATTGACTTCGCCTTTTTGGTTGACCCCATTATACTTTTCCCTGTTGTCTGCAAAAACCTGCAACTGGAGTTCTCAACTCCTGAATAGAATAGCCCTCCAATTTTAAGAACTTTGAAAACAGAAGTGAAATTGAAATTATACATTCCCATCCACACTCAACATGAAAACACCTTCACATAGCAAAATCCCAAAAACATAAAATAATAAGTTAAGGAAATCATTTAAAAGTAGAACACATGCAGGCATAAAAGTAGGAAAAATAGCTTGCCTGTTTTGGGTGATATATGAAAAGATAGACTCCTCTCCATCAGCTGCCCACCTTTGCATTGTGTTAACCAAACAGAGACTTAAATACAAGAGAAAAACTCAGCATTGATATGACTTAGAATTTGAATAACATGTATGATATTACTTGGAATTTGAAGAACCGTACATGTTATTCGAGTATACTACTTTGCACAAGTCCTTTCTTTTAAATAAATGTCTTACAAATCCCAGTATAAATTACTTGAAAAAAACCCTATTTTATGAAGTCCGGGAACCTTACAAAATACAGGTGAGCCTGACATTCCAAGGGCAGCACAATGCAAGGTACATGCCATAT